TCGGTACCTCCCATCGCTGAGGCTGCTCCCCAGGTCCGAGGCCGATTTCCGCTCCACCACCACGTCCAGCACCAGCTCCCTTGGGGGGCGCCCTGGGGGCGGGGCCAGCCCATGGTCACGCCCCCTCGGCCCCGCCCAAAGCCAATGGCACCGCATGGGCACGCCCCTCTGGTCCCACCCACAGCCCACCAAGAACCAATGACAGAGCACACAAGGGGTGGGGCCAGAGTCTGGCCACACCCACCACCGCAATGGGGGCGTGACCACAGGAGGACCCCGCCCATAGCCAATGGCAGCGCATGGACACGCCCCTCTGGCCCCACCCACAGCCCACCAAGAACCAATGACAGAGCACACAAGGGGCGGGGCCAGAGCCTGGCCACACCCACCACCTCCAATAGGGGCGTGACCAGACGCTGACCCCTCCCCACAGCTCAATGGGGGCGGAGTCAGCGCTTCGGCCCCCGCCCACACAGGAGCCGATGTGGGCGGAGCCAGAGCCGGGTTCCACCCCCACCGCTCATCCCATTGGCTCCCCCGCCCTCCCCACCCCAGAGGCCACGCCCACCTGTGGGCGGGGCCCTCTCGCGGGCCACCCAGAGGAAGTCTCCCACGTGGAGTCTCCGCAGGCTCAATGGGACGCGGCCCTGCAGCAGCGACGGCACCGGCCTGGCCACGCCCCCCCCCAAACGTCACCGAGGGGGGGCGTGGCCACCTTACAGTGGGGCAGGGACACCCCATGGGGGGGTGTGGGGGGAGACACAAGGGGGAAATTGGGGGTACAAGGGTGGGATGCAAGGGAAGGCTCTTGAGGACCCTATGGGGACAAGGGGAAGGGCAAGGGGACACCCCAAGGGGGACAAGGGCTCCATGAGTGGGGTTCATTGGGACCTGTGGGGGCAGGAGAAACCCCCCCAGGGTGCAGATGGGGCAGGCCTGTGCCAACCCTGGGATGGGGGGACAAGGGACACTGCATTCCATTTTGGGGGGGGGGGAAGGACCCCATGGTGCAGGGATGGGGGGGACACACACTCACGCACCCATTGGCCTCGGTGACGTCAGCACAGAGAATGATGTCGAATTCACCAGGTTTCAGCTCAAACTCGACATCAGGGCCAGGCCTGGGGGGGGGGACACACCCCAAACCCTGAACCCCAACCCCCCAAGGAAGGAGGCAGGAATCTGGGGTTCCCCCCCCCCCCCAAATGCCCCCTTCAATGGGCACCCAGGTGACTTACGATGGGGAGGGAGGAGGGAGATGCTCCTCGGATGGGGGCGGGGCTTCTGAGGCAGCAGCAGCCAATCGCTGGGCCAGGATGTGACCACGTGGGGTCAGGGAGTACCTGGGGAGGGGGGAGAAAGGGGGTGACCGGGGGGGGTCGGGGTGTGTGTTTGGAGGGGGGGGGGGCTCTGGCCGTACCGGGGGGGGCGGCCATTGCGCTGCAGCAGGTCCCGTCGCAGGAGGGTGCCCAGGGCCCCCTTGGGTGCTCCCTGGGGAGAGGGGGAGGAAGGGACCCCATTATTCACGTGTCCCCCCTCAGTGTGGGGGGGGGGTCCTATGGGCACTCACCAGGGTCAGGGGGCGGTCACAGAGGGGCTGGGCCTGATGCAGAAGCTCCGCCTCTGGGAGGGGCTCTGAGCTCTGGGGGGGGGGGGGGGGGGGGGGGACTTCAGGTGAGTCCATGGGGGGGGAGGGGGGGGTATGGGGGGGGAGGACACCCCAAAGTCCCCAGGTCCTTCCCCTCCCCCCCTTTACCTTGTGCAGCGTCAGCAGCAGCGCTCGTGCCCCCGAGCGGGGGAGGGGCCGGTACTCACGGGGGGGGCAATGCTGGGGGAGGGGGGGAAAGGTGATGGGGGGATGGGGGGGGGGCTCCAAACCCCCCCAAAATACCCAACCCCCCCCCCCCCTTCCAGGGGTCCGGGTGGGGGAGGTGTGTGATGATGTCACTCACCGTGGGTGGAGCCAAGGGGCTCGCCGGGCTCCTCCTCTCTGCGGGGGGGCTGGGGGCGTGGCCTTGCTCTGATGGGAGGCGCCAATATGCAAAACAGATGCAAATGAACGCATGGATCAGCACCTAGTCACGCTATCTCCGCCCACTCCCCGTTAAGGCCCCGCCTACACCCCCTTAAGGCTCCGCCCACAATCCCTTAAATCCCCGCCCACACCCCCTTAAGTCCCCGCCCACCTGCGCGGTGCTGGCGCAGGCGCAGATCGAGCCGGCGGCAGAGGGCGGGGCCAAAGTTCTTCAAGATGGCGGCCGCCCGCCCGGAGCGGAGCCGCAGCGGGTACCGGGCGAGGGAGCGCAGGGCCTGCGGGGACACGCGGCTGGGACCGGGAGCACCGGGAGCACCGGCGGCCCCGCACCCCCGTTCCCGTTCCCCTCCCGTGCCCCCGCACACCCACCCGCTCGTAGACGCCTTTTGCCCGCGTCCCCGTGGCCTCATCCCGCCACTCCCGGAGCCAGCGGGTGAAGAGCGGGTTGGGGGAAGCACGGGGCCGGTGGCGGCGGCGAGGGGGGTCAACGACGGCCTCCGCCATGGCGGCGGCGGTCACCGGCAGCTGCCGCCCCTGACCCGGAAGTGCTCTTCAACCCCCTCCCGCACCTTCAGCTTGTCTGCTCTGGAGGACGCGGGCCTCTCTAGGCGGCCTGGAGGACCAACTCCTCTGCTCTGGAGGACTGACCCCAAAAACAGCCCCTGGGGGGGGGCTGATACCCCCACATCGCCCCCACTCCCCCCACGGAGAGTTTCACCCCCCCTAAGGGGTTCACACCCCCCCAACTTACCCTCAAGGTGTTCCTTTTCCCTCTGGACCCCCCCCAAGCACCCCCATCTCTCTATTAGAAACCCCCAAACAATCCCGGGGGGGGTCACCCCCCAGTTGATCCCCCCTCCCTCCTCCCCCCCCATCAAACCAAAGCTTGGACCCAGCACAACAAGACCTTTATTGTTTAGAAAACCCATACAAACACACTAGAAGCGGGGGGGGGGGAGGAGGAGGCACCCCAATATGACACAAACCCCCCCCCCCGATGCAGGAGAGGGGGTTACACCCCAACCCTCCCTCACCCCCCCCATCACCCCCATGGGGGTAGAGGCAATATCAGCACAACCCCACACACCCCCCCATGGGGGATTTGGTGTGATTGGGGGGGGGGGGGGGGCGAGGGCATCCCAGGTTCCCCCCATAAAGATGTTTTTGGAAGGGGAAACCCCAACCCCCAGTTGGCAAAGAGGGATGGGGCAGCACCACAGTTCTGGTGGGGGGGGGGGGGGGCCTGATGTGAATGGGAGCCCCCGTAGAGGGGGTGTTGGGGTGCCCCGGTTGAGGTTGGGGGGCTCAGAGGAAGGCATCGCACCACTCCCGGAGGCAGCCGGAGCAGTCCCGGGACTGTTTGGCGTTGGCTCCGCACGTTTCCTTCAGCCATTCCCGGAAGAGCTCCTCGTCCTTGCGTAGCACCAGGAACTGTCCCAGCACCACGTACGCCTGGGGGAAGAGCACAGGGACACCCTCGGTATCCCCAAGGGAGTCCTTATCCCAATCCATGACCCTGCAGCTGCCCCCGTGGCACTGGGACAAGCCCACATCCCTAAGGACATGGTTGTGTTTAACCCCCCCCTACCAATGTCTCCAAGAGCATCCCTGAGCATTCCCATGTCCCCAAGGAAGCCTCTTGTCCCTACTGTGTCCCTAAAAAGGTCCCTGTCTGCCACCCCATCCCCAAGGGCTTCCCTGTGTCATTCCCCCCCCCCCAAATGTCCTCAAGGGGGTCACTCTGTCTCGTTCCCCCCCCCTCCCCATTATCCCCAATGGGCTCCCGGCTCTGTCATGTCCCCAAGAAGGTCCCTGTGCGTGCCCCCCACCATGTCCCCAAGGGGCTCCTATCTCCCACCATGTCCCTAAGGAGGTCCCTTTCCATCCCCCCCCCCCCCCCCATATCCCCAAGAGGCTCCTGTCCCTACCATGTCCCTAAATGGGTCTCTGTGTGCTCCCCACCTTGTCCCCAAGGGAGTCCCATGCCCCAAGGGGGTCCCTGTGTGCCCCCCTTTCCCCAATGGGCCCCTACATGCACCACATCCCCAAAGGGGTCCCTATCCCCCTATACACATCCCCAAGGGGGTCCCTATCCCCCCATCCCCAAGGGGGTCTTTCTGTGTACCCCCTTCCTCATGTCCCTAAGAGGCTCCTGTCCCCACCATGTCATTAAAAGGGTCACTATCCCCCCATACACATCCCCAAGGGGGTCCCTCTGTGTCCCCCCTGCCCTATATCCCTAAGAGCCTCCTGTCCCCACCATGTCCCCAAGGAGGACCCTGTGTGTCCCCCTGTCCCCAAAGGGCCCCTATACCCACGATGTGCCTAAGGGGGTCCCTATTCCCACCCCCCCATCCCCAAAGAGGTCCCTGTGTGTCCCCCCTGACCTATATCCCTAAGAGGATCCTGTCCCCACCATGTCCCTAAGAGGGTCCCTATCTACCCTCCCGCATCCCCTGTGCCCCCCCCCCCCCCATGTCCCCAAAGGACCCCTACACCCACCATGTCCCTAAAGGGTTCCCTATCCCCCCGTTACATCCCCAAGGGAGTCTCTCTGTGTCCCCCCTTCCTCATGTCCCTAAGAGCTTCCTGTCCCCACCATGCCCCTAAGGAGGTCCCTATTCCCCCTATCTACCCCCCCTCAATCCCCTGTGTGTCCCCCCTGCCCCATGTCCCCAAAGGCCCCTACACCCACCATGTCCCTAAGAGGGTCCCTATCTACCCCCCCATCCCCTGTGTGTCCCCCCTGCCCCATGTCCCCAAAGGCCCCCTACACCCACCATGTCCCTAAGGGGGTCCCTATCTACCCCCCCCCCATCCCCTGTGTGTCCCCCCTGCCCCATGTCCCCAAAGGCCCCCTACACCCACCATGTCCCTAAGGGGGTCCCTATCTACCCCCTGCCCCCCATCCCCTGTGTGTCCCCCCTGCCCCATGTCCCCAAAGGCCCCCTACACCCACCATGTCCCTAAGGGGGTCCCTATCTACCCCCCGCCCCCCATCCCCTGTGTGTCCCCCCTGCCCCATGTCCCCAAAGGCCCCCTACACCCACCATGTCCCTAAGTGGGTCCCTATCTACTCCCCCCCCCCCCCCATCCCCTGTGTGTCCCCCCTGCCCCATGTCCCCAAAGGACCCCGACACCCACCATGTCCCTAAGTGGGTCCCTATCCCCATCCCCAATAGGGTCCCTCTGTGTCCCCTCCCTCCCCCGCGCACCCCTCCCAAGCCCCCGTCACAGCCCGACCGGAGCTCCCCCCCCCCCCCCCCCCCCCCCCCCCCCCGTACCTTATCGAAGCCCTTCTCCTCCAGCTTCTTGCCCAGCACGTCCCCGATGCCCGCCAGCATCCCCACCGGCTTCTCCCCCATCGGCTCCGCTACGAAGTCCCGGTGCTTCTGCGACGTGGAGGACATGGCGCCTGCGGGGGGAAGCGGAGACGGCTCAAGGGGAGGCTGGGGGGGAACGGGAACCGGGACCCGAGCTCCCCCCCCGCGGCCCTCACCGGAGCCTCCGACCGCTGCTCCCGCCTCAGCCCGCTACCGCCGCCGCCGCCGCTGTGCGTGCGTCGACGTCCTGACGTCACCTCCGGCTGCGCCATAGAGCCGAGACAGAGCGGCCACTACAGGGTGAGACGCTCTAGGCGGTTGCTTGGGTCATAGAGAGCGCGGGAGGACCTCGGGGTTCTCCCCCCTCCCGCCTTCCCCCCTCCCAAAATCCAATGGGATTCTCCTGGAAAGGACTAAAAAAAGGCCGAATATTGGCACGAAAAAGCGGCTTTTTATTAATAAACCACAAATAAAACACAGATGGAACAAAGAACTTCGGGGAATCAGATGGAACAAAGAACTTCGGGGAAAGGGGGGAAATGGGGTGGGGAGGGGGGAGAAGCTGGAAGGTTGAGGAATGGAAGGGGTTTGGAGGAAAAAAAGGGGAGTTTTGGGGGGGAAAGGGAGTTTGGGGGGAAAAAAAGGGAGATATGGGCAAAAAGAGGCAATTTGGGAGGAAAAAAGGGAGACTGGGAGCAAAAATGGGAGATTTGGGGCAAAAGAGGCAATTTGGGAGGAAAAAAGGGAGACTTGGGAGCAAAAATGGGAGATTTGGGGCAAAAGAGGCAATTTGGGAGGAAAAAAGGGAGACTTGGGAGCAAAATGGGAGATTTGGGGCACAAAAGGAGGCAATTTGGGAGCAAAAATGGGAGATTTGGGGCAAAAAGGGGCAATATGGGGCAGAAAGGGGCAATTTGAGAGTAAAAAGGGGAGATTTGGGGCAAAAGGGGGAGATTTGGGAGCAAAAAGGGGCAATTGGGGAACAAAAAGGGGTGATTTGGGGCAGAAAATGGCGGCTTGGGAACAAAAAGGGGTTATTTGGGGCAGAAAAAAGCGATCTGGGAGCAAAAAGCGGAGATTTAGGGCAAAAAGGGGTGACTTGAAAGTAAAAGAAGTCCTTTGGGGCAGGAAAAAAAACCAAAGGCTCAAAACCAAATGACAAAAGCCCCCCCCCCCTTATTTGGGATTCACCCCCCCCCCCATGGGGGACAGAACGTCTCTGCTCCACTTTGGGCTCCCCCCCCCAATAACCCGGGGGTGCAGGGGGGGTGACTCCAGCCCGTGCCCCCCCCCCCTCAGGCTTCCTCCTCTCTCAGCAGCATGTTGGGGATCCCACGGGAGATGGGGAACTGGCGCCCCGAGTCCGGGCACTGCAGGAACCCCTCCAGCACCTCCACCTGGGGGGGGACACACATGCACATAAGGGGGTCAATGGGGTGGGGGGGGTGTCAGGACCACATCTCCCCCCCCCAACCCCCCAAGGGGGTTTTGGGCCCCCCTCACCTCCAGCAGCACGTGATGCACCCGCCGCAGGAACGCTTCATCTCCCTCGTAGTCAGGGCAGGCTCGGGGGGCAGCTCCGAGGGATGCCCCAACTGCAGGTGGGGGGGGGGAGAATGGGGGGAACTGGGAGACCCCAATAGGACCCCCGTGCCCCCCCATCCCAAACCTTAGGATCCCCCCCCAGATCTGACACCCCCCCCATGCTGCTGCCCCCCCCATGCATCCAAACTGGGATCCCCCCAAAATCGAAGCCTTCCCCTCCAATTGAGACAGCCCCAAAACCATGCCCCCCCATCATAGGACACCCCCTCAACTCGCCCCCCATCACAGGACACCCCCTCAACTCGAACCCCATCATAGGACCCCCCTCAACTCGCCCACCCCATCACAGGACCCCCCAAACTCGCTCCCCCCATCATAGAACCCCTCTGAACTTGCCCCCCATCATAGGACCCCCCCCAACTTGCTCCCCCCATCATAGGACCCCCCCCACTCGCTCCTCCCCATCATAGGACAGCCCTCAACTCGCCCCCCCCATCATAGGACCCTCCCCAACTTGCTCCCCACATCATAGGACCCCCCACTCACCCCCTCTATCATAGGACCCCCCCAACTCACCCCCCCTATCATAGGACCCTCCCCAACTCGCCCCCCCATCATAGAACCCCCCCCCGAACTTGCTCCCCCCATCACAGGACCCCCCCCAACTCGCTCCCCCCATCATAGAACTCCTCTGAACTCGCCCCCCTATCATAGGACCCCCCCCCCCCCAACTCGCTGGCCCCCATCATAGAACCCCCCCCAACTCGCCCGCCCATCATAGGACCCCCCCAACTCGCTCCCCCCACCATAGGACCCCCTCAACTCGCTCCCCCCATCATAGGACCCCCCTCAACTCGCTCCCCCCCATCATAGGACCCCCCTCAACTCGCTCCCCCCATCATAGGACCCCCCCAACTCACTCCTCCCCATCATAGGACCCCCACCAATTCGCTCCCCCCATCACAGAACCCCCCAACTTGCTCACCCCCAACATAGGACCCCCCCCACCTCGCCCCCCCATAATAGAACCCCCCCCACCTCGCCCCCCATCATAGGACCCCCCCCACCTCGCCCCCCCATCATAGGACCCCCCTCCACTCACGCTCTCGGCCGCCTCCAGCAGCGCCCCCCAGCGCAGCCGCGGCACCAACCGGGCTACGAAGGCGGCGTTGAACGGTACCGGCCGCACGCAGACATCCGAGGCCTGGAGAGGGGGAGAACGGGCCGGTAACGGGGGCTATGGGCCGGTACCGGAGGCTAGGGCCGGTACCGGAGGCTATGGCCGGTACCGGAGGCTTGTGGCTGGTACCGGTGGCTATGGGCCGGTAACAGGGGCTATAGGCTAGTACCGGAGGCTATGGCCGGTACCGGTGGCTATGGGCCTGTATCGGAGGCTATGGCCGGTACCGGTGGCTATGGGCGGTATGGGAGCTATGGGCCGGTACCGGAGGCTATGGCCGGTCCCGGAGGCTGTGGCCGGTACCAGTGGTTATGGCTGTACCGGAGGCTATGGCTGGTACCGGTGGCTGTGGCCGGTACCGGCGGCTAAGGGCGGTACCGGAGGCTATGGTCGGTACCGGTGGCTGTGGCCGGTACCGGCGGCTAAGGGCGGTACCGGAGGCTATGGTCGGTACCGGTGGCTAAGGGCGGTCCCGGAGGGCTGTGGGCCTGTACCGGAGGCTGTGGGCCTGTACCGGTGGCTATGGGCCTGTACGGAGGCTGTGGCCGGTACCGGAGGCTATGGGCCTATACCGGAGGCTGTGGCCGGTCCCGGTCCTGGTGTCGGGGTGGGCCCGCACCTGTATCCGCAGGGGGAAGCCGCCGCCGGGCCGGAGCCCGCGCACGTTGGAGCAGAGCAGGTTGTGTGTGAGCAGCTTCATCCCGCCGCCGCTTCCGGTCTGCGTCACTTCCGGTGGGAGGAGCCGCGGAAAGCTGCTGCGCGATGGAGGGAAGGGGTGGTCGCCAGGGTAACGACGCATCCATGGGGTGGGGGCGTGGCTTGTGAACGTGATGACGTAAACACCGGGGCGTGGCCTAAGGGGTGGCTTTGGAGGTGGCCCCCATCCCCAGGGAAAGGGGGGCCCCCCGCACCCCCAATGTGTCCCTGTCCCCCCCATACCCCTGCACCCCCAAATCACCCTCTGAGCCCCCCAAACCAGCTCCTGCACCCCCCAACCCCCCCAAAACCAGCTCCTGCACCCCCAAACCCCCCCAAACCAGCTCCTGCACCCCCAAACCCCCCAAACCAGCTCCTGCACCCCCAACTCCCCCAAACCAGCTCCTGCACCCCCGAAACCCCCCAAAACCAGCTCCTGCACCCCCAAACCCCCCAAACCAGCTCCTGCACCCCCAACACCCCAATCCAGCTCCTGCACCCCCGAAACCCCCCAAACCAGCTCCTGCACCCCCAACCCCCCCAATCCAGCTCTTGCACCCCCAAACCAGCTCCTGCACCCCCAAACCCCCCAAACCAGCTCCTGCACCCCCAAACCCCCCAAACCAGCTCCTGCACCCCCGAAACCCCCCAAACCAGCTCCTGCACCCCCAAACCAGCTCCTGCACCCCAACCCCCAAACCAGCTCCTGCACCCCCAACCCAGCTCCTGCACCCCCAACCCCCCAATCCAGCTCCTGCACCCCCAACCCCCCCAACCCAGCTCCTGCACCCCCAACCCCCCAAACCACCTCCTGCACCCCCAACCCCCCAATCCAGCTCCTGCACCCCCAACCCCCCCACCCAGCTCCTGCACCCCCAACCCCCCAAACCAGCTCCTGCACCCCCACCCCCCCAACCCAGCTCCTGCACCCCCAACCCCCCAAACCAGCTCCTGCACCCCCAAACCAGCTCCTGCACCCCAAACCCCCCCAACCCAGCTCCTGCACCCCCAACCCCCCAAACCAGCTCCTGCACCCCCAAACCAGCTCCTGCACCCCCAACCCCCCCAAACCAGCTCCTGCACCCCCAAACCAGCTCCTGCACCCCCAACCCCAAACCAGCTCCTGCACCCCCAACCCCCCAAACCAGCTCCTTCACCCCCAAACCAGCTCCTGCACCCCCAACCCCCCCAAACCTGCTCCTGCACCCCCAAACCAGCTCCTGCACCCCCAACCCCCCCAAACCTGCTCCTGCACCCCCAACCCCCCCAAACCTGCTCCTGCACCCCCAAACCAGCTCCTGCACCCCCAACCCCCCCAAACCAGCTCCTGCACCCCCAACCCCCCCAAACCTGCTCCTGCACCCCCAAACCAGCTCCTGCACCCCCAACCCCCCAAACCAGCTCCTGCACCCCCAACCCCCCCAAACCAGCTCCTGCACCCCCAAACCAGCTCCTGCACCCCCAACCCCCCAAACCAGCTCCTGCACCCCCAACCCAGCTCCTGCACCCCCAACCCCCCAATCCAGCTCCTGCACCCCCAACCCCCCCAACCCAGCTCCTGCACCCCCAACCCCCCAAACCACCTCCTGCACCCCCAACCCCCCAAAACCAGCTCCTGCACCCCCAACCCCCCAAACCACCTCCTGCACCCCCAACCCCCCAAAACCAGCTCCTGCACCCCCAACCCCCCAAACCAGCTCCTTCACCCCCAAACCAGCTCCTGCACCCCCAACCCCCCCAAACCTGCTCCTGCACCCCCAAACCAGCTCCTGCACCCCCAACCCCCCCAAACCAGCTCCTGCACCCCCAAACCAGCTCCTGCACCCCCAAAACCCCCCAAACCAGCTCCTGCACCCCCAACCCCCCCAAACCAGCTCCTGCACCCCCAACCCCCCCAAACCAGCTCCTGCACCCCCAAACCAGCTGCTGCACCCCCAACCCCCCAAACCAGCTCCTGCACCCCCAACCCCCCAAACCAGCTCCTGCACCCCCAAACCAGCTCCTGCACCCCCAAAACCCCCCAAACCAGCTCCTGCACCCCCAACCCCCCCCAAACCAGCTCCTGCACCCCCAAACCCCCCCATTGCTGGGTACCCCCAAACCCTCTGCCACATCCCCCATGGCCATAGATGGAGACAGAGGCACAAATGCAGCTCGTTTAATCAACAACGTGGGGCACAGGGAGCACCCCAAACACCTCTTTATGGACAAGAGGGGGTCCCCCCCACCCTGGGACCCCAACACTGCCAAGGGTCCCCACCAAAAAGGAGTGTGCAGGGGGGAGAAAGGGACCCCACAAAAGCCCCAGAAGAAGGGGGGAGCCCCCCAAAATGAGACATGAAGGGGGGTGAAACAGGGGTGCTGGGGCTAGGGGACATAAGGCCACATATAGGTGTTGTGTGCCCCCCCCCCCAGGCTCTGATGGGTGCTATGGGTAGGATGGGATCGGTCCACTTGTGGGTGCTGGGGTGTTGCGCGTTGGGAGCGAGGTGGGTGGCGGGGCGGGGGGAAGCGACTGCTCCTGCCCCACAGATGCTGTGGGGCAGCACTGGCACTATGGGGTATACGGGAAGCTGAGCAACAACCCCTCGTAGGGCCGCAGCTTGAGAGCCCCCAGCTCGACGTGAGGCTCTGCGGGCGGCGGGTGGTGGGTGCTGAGCTGCAGGGTGGCCTGGGGGGGCAGGCGGGGGTCCTGCAGGGCCAACGCAGGCAGGGGCTGGTCCCCGGGGTTCAGCACCACCAGGAAGCGTTTGTTCTTGTCCCAGCTCCGCAGGAAAGCGGCCGCCGATCCAGCGGGAACGGCCTCGGCATCCCCAAGGGACAGCGACCGCTCCTGGACCCGCAGCGCACCCAGGCGGCGGCAGAGCTCCAGCAGCTGGGCCTGCGGGGAGGCAGCGTTACACGGGGATCACGGCCCCTTTAAGACAAGCTCCACCCCCCCCCCCCCCCCTCGAGAAGCTCCGCCCCCCTCATTGAACGCACGTGGCTTCTTTAGAACAAGCCCCGCCCACCGCCCATCAAGCCCCGCCCACCTCGGTGCTGTTGTCGCCCTTCTGGATCCCCTCGATCAGTTCCCAGGGCATCGGGGTCAGCTGTGGGGGGGGGGGCGGAATGGGGGTCAGAGGTCATGAACTTTCACCCCCCCCACCCCTGTCCCATAGCACCCCAAAACCCCCAGCCCCCAAACCCTGTCCCATAGCACCCCAAAACCCCCACCCCCCCAACCCTGGCCCATAGCACCCTAAAACCCCCACCCCCCAAACCCTGTTCCATAGCACCCCAAAACTCCCACAACCCTGGCCCATAGCACCCTAAAACCCCCACCCCCCAAACCCTGACCCATAGCACCCCAAAACCCCCACAACCCTGTCTCATAGCACCCCAAAAACCCCACCCCCACAACCCTGTCCCATAGCACCCCAAAACCCCCCCAACCCTGTTCCATAGCACCCCAAAACCCCCACAACCCGTCCCATAGCACCCCAAAACCCCCACCCCCCCAACCCTGACCCATAGCACCCCAAAACCCCCACCCCCCAAACCCTGTTCCATAGCACCCCAAAACCCCCACCCCCCAAACCCTGTTCCATAGCACCCCAAAACCCCCACAACCCTGTCCCATAGCACCCCAAAACCCCCCAACCCTTTCCCATAGCACCCCAAAACCCCCCCAACCCTGTCCCATAGCACCCCAAAACCCCCACAACCGTCCCATAGCACCCCAAAACCCCCACCCCTGGAGCACAAATCACCCCCCCCCAGCCCCCCTGGTACCCAAACCCCACCCTCAGCCCCACAGCACCCCAAATCCACCCCTTTTTCCCCCAAAATATGTGTCGCCCCCCCCCCCCCCCCCCCAATACCTGTCCAGGCCGGGGGGTGAACGGGGCCTCCCCCTGTTTAGCATCCATCAGCCCCACTTCGTCCCCATAGCTGAGCACAGGGGTCCCGGGCAGGGTCCAGAGCAGGAGGAGGAGTTGGGGGGCACGGAGGGAGCTCAGCCCCACGAGGTGCTTCCAGGGGGACCCCACCTGCACGGGGGTGCACACACACACAGGGTCACCCCCCCCTCACCTCATCACCCCCCAGCTTGGGGCTGCGTGGGGCATGGGGGTACTGGGGGGGGGTCTCAGGGGTGTTTGGGGGTCACTTGGGGTCCCGGGGGGGTGTTTGGGGGTCCCTTGGGGTACTGGGGGTCTCAGGGGGGGTTTGGGGGTCCCTTGGGGTACTGGGGGTCTCAGGGGGGGGTTGGGGGTCCCTTGGGGGTCACTTGGGGTCCCAGGGGGGGTTTGGGGGTCCCTTGGGGTACTGGGGGTCCCAGGGGGTGTTTGGGGGTCCCTTGGGGTACTGGGGGTCTCAGGGGTGTTTGGGGGTCACTTGGGGTCCCGGGGGGGTGTTTGGGGGTCCCTTGGGGTACTGGGGGTCTCAGGTGGGGTTTGGGAGTCACTTGGGGGTCACTTGGGGTCCCAGGGGGTGTTTGGGGGTTCCTTGGGGTCCCAGGGGGTGTTTGGGCATCCTGTGGGGTACTGGGGTCCCGGGGGGTGTTTGGGGGTCCCTTGGGGTACTGGGGGTCTCAGGGGGGTTTGGGGGTCACTTGGGGTCCCAGGGGGTGTTTGGGGGTCCCTTGGGGTACTGGGGTCTCGGGGGGGGTTTGGGGGTCCCTTGGGGTCCCGGGGGGTGTTTGGGGGTCCCTTGGGGTACTGGGGGTCTCAGGGGGGGTTTGGGGGTCACTTGGGGTCCCAGGGGGTGTTTGGGGGTCCCTTGGGGTACTGGGGTCTCGGGGGGGGTTTGGGGGTCTCTTGGGGTCCCAGGGAGGGTTTGGGGGTCCTGGGGGGGGGGGGGATGGACTCACGCTCCAGGCCAGGGGGATTTGGGGTCCCAGGAACTCCAGCAATCGGGGGACCAGCGTGGGGCTGAAGGGTTCGGACACCAGCGCCTCCAGGGAGGGCACCAGCACCAGCCCCAGCCCCACGGCCGAGGAGTTGAGCTGCGCCAGCACTGAGGGGGGGTCCTGCAGTCGCGTGCCCCCAACCAGCACCCTAAAAACGGGGAGCAGTGGGTCAGAGGAGTGGGGGCCCCCTCAAATATATGGGGTTGGGGGGGGGGGCACAAACAGACCTGGGGATGCCCTCAGGGCTGCTCTGCTCTGTCAGGTTCCGCCACTCGGCCAACACTGAGGGCTGTGGGGCAGGAAAGGGGGGGGGTCACCTCATAGAGCCCCATTCCTGCCCCACTGAGCCCCCTCCAGCCCCCCACAGCCCCGAGCCCCACCTTCAGCTCCTCGATGCCATCCAGGAAGAAGCCGGAGACGCCGCGCTCCAGCCACGTGCTCATCGCTCGCTGTGGGGCACGGGGGGGGGGGGGGGTGAGTGCTCTGCCTGCCCCACAGCGACCCACAGCACCCCTGAGATGCCCTATGGCCACCCACAGCACCCCATGGCTGCCACTTGGGTCATCCCTCAGTACCCTATGGCCATCCAGAGCACCCCACAGCTGCTCAATGCATCCCGTAGTTTCCCTATGGCCACCCTCACCACCCCATAGCTGCCCCATTGCTGTCCTATAACCAACAAGAGTACCCAATACCTGCCTAAATGCACCCCATAGCTTCCCTGTGCCAGCCCCAATGCCCCCCATAGCTGCCCCAATGTTGTCCTATACCCAGCAAAAGCACCCCATAACTGCCTCAATGCAACCCCCAGCTGCCCCATTGCTGTCCTATACCAAGAGCACCCCATACCTGCCCCAATGCCCCCCATAGCTGCCCCAATGCTGTCCTATACCCAGCAAGAGCACCCCATACCTGCCCCAATGCCCCCCATAGCTGCCCCATTGCTGTCCTATACCCAGCAAGAGCACCCCATACCTGCCCCAATGCCCCCCATAGCTGCCCCATTGCTGTCCTATACCCAGCAAGAGCACCCCATACATGCCTCAATGCACCCCCCCAGCTGCCCCAATGCACCCCATAGCTGCCCCGTTGCTGTCCTATACCAAGCAAAAGCACCCCATAACTGCCTCAATGCAACCCCCAGCTGCCCCATACCCAGCAAGAGCACCCCATACCTGCCCCAATGCCCCCCATAGCTGCCCCATTGCTGTCCTATACCCAGCAAGAGCACCCCATACCTGCCCCAATGCCCCCCATAGCTGCCCCATTGCTGTCCTATACCAAGAGCACCCCATACATGCCCCAATGCCCCCCATAGCTGCCCCATTGCTGTCCTATACCCAGCAAGAGCACCCCATACCTGCCCCAATGCCCCCCATAGCTGCCCCATTGCTGTCCTATACCCAGCAAGAGCACCCCATACTTGCCCCAATGTCCCCCATAGCTGCCCCATTGCTGTCCTATACCAAGAGCACCCCCCCACCTGCCCCAATGCCCCCCATCGCTGCCCTATAGCCACCCACAGCCCCCCCCCCCCCCCCCAATGCCCCCCACACACCTTGACCTTGTCCTGGAAGCCAGGGTCCTCAGCCACTGTGGGCCCAAACCAGGCCGGACCCCCAGAGTAGTTGGGGGTCAAATCCAAGATCACCTGGATCCCTGGTGGGGTCAAAGAGCACCCCCTTTACCACTGACCCACAGCACCCCCATAACCCCACTATTGCCCCCCTCCCCCCCCAGCACTTAGGGTGCCCCTCACCCTTCTTCTTGGCGGCCTGCAGGAGGTGGCTGAGGTCCGAGAGGGAGCCCAGCTCTGGGTCCAGCTCCCCCAAGGGGGTGTCCTGGAGGAGCCCCGAGTTCTGGGGGTGCAGCGGCCCCAGCACCAACCCCTTCACCTGCAGCCCGGCCACGTGCTCCAGCCGCGAGGCCACACCTGCAATGGGGGGAGTGAACCCCAAATCTGAGTCACAACACACACACCCCTCCCCCCACAGGACCCCCCAATCCCAAACTCAATGGGGGGGGTGAACCCCAAATCTGAGTCACAACACAACCCCCAGGGACCCCCCAACCCCAAACTCAATGGGGGGGGTGTGAACCCCAAAACTGAGTCACAACCCCTCCCCCCGGACCCCCCAACCCCAAACTCAATGGGGGGGTGAATCCCAAATCTGAGTCACACACACACCCCCCCGGGACCCCCCAACCCCAAACTCAATGGGGGGGTGTGAACCCCAAATCTGAGTCACAACCCCGGGACCCCCCAACCCCAAACTCAATGGGGGGGTGAACCCCAAATCTGAGTCACAACCCTGGGACCTTCCAACCCCAAACTCAATGGGGGGGGTGTGAACCCCAAAACTGAGTCACAACCCCTCCCCCCGGACCCCCCAACCCCAAACTCAATGGGGGGGGTGTGAACCCCAAAACTGAGTCACAACACACACCCCACCCCCCCCCCCCCCCGGGACCCCCCAACCCCAAACTCAATGGGGGGGTGTGAACCCCAAATCTGAGTCACAACCCCGGGACCCCCCAATCCCAAACTCAATGGGGGGGTGTGAACCCCAAATCTGAGTCACAACCCTGGGACCTTCCAACCCCAAACTCAATGGGGGGGGCTGAACCCCAAATCTGAGTCACACACACCCCCCCCCCCGGGACCCCCCAATCCCAAACTCAATGGGGGGGGTGAACCCCAAATCTGAGTCACAACCCTGGGACCTTCCAACCCCAAACTCAATGGGGGGGGCTGAACCCCAAATCTGAGTCACACACACACCCCCCCCCCGGGACCCCCCAATCCCAAACTCAATGGGGGGGGTGTGTGAACCCCAAATCTGAGTCACCCCTCCCCCGCCCGGGACCCCCCAATCCCAAACTCAATGGGGGGGTGAACCCCAAATCTGAGTCACACCCCTCCCCCCGGGACTCCCCAATGCCAAATTCAATGGGGGGGGGTGGGAGTGTTCTTGTCCTCCCCATTAGGATTTGGGAGCCCATCAAAGCCACCCCCCCCCCCCCCCCAAAGTCAGGTGACCCCCCAAAATGCTGACTCACTGCCCCCACCCTATGGCTGATGAAATGAGGGCAGCGCAAGGGGGGGCACCCATGAGAAATGGGGTTCTGGGGGGGGGGAATAAACCAATGAGAGAGTACTTTGGGGGGGGGGGAACTCATGGGGAGGGTCCATTGGGGGGGGGATAAACTACAACAGGAGGATAAACTAACGGGGGGAGGCTTTGGGATGGGGATAAACTAATAAGGGGGGTCTTTGGGGTGATAAATTATTGGGGGGGTCGTGTGGGGGGATAAATTAACAGCAGAAGAGATTAATGGGGGGGTCCTTTGGGATGGGGATAAACTAGTAAAGAGGGCTATTTGGGGGTGGATAAACTAATGGGGGGGTTGTTTGGGGGGATAAACTAATAACGGGGGGTCTTTTGGGGGCAATAAATTAAGGGGGGGTCCTTTGGGATGGGGATAAACTAATAAGGAGGTTCTTTGGGGTGGATAAGCTAATGGGGGTTGTTTGGGGGGATAAACTAATAACGGGGGGGTCTTTGGGGGGCAATAAACTAATGAGGGGGGTCCTTTGGGATGGGAATAAACTAATAAGGGGGGATTATTTGGGGTAATTAATAAAGGGGGGGTCGTTTGGGGGGGATAAACTAATAAAGGGGAGGGTCCTTTGGGAGGATAAACTAATAGAGGAAATTCTTTGGGGGGATAAACTCATAAAGTGGGGGTCCTTTGGGGGGAACTAATGGGGGGGTCATTTGGGGGGGATAAACTAATAATGGGGGGCGTTTGGGGGGATGAACTAATAAGGGGGGGCCTTTGGGGGAGATAAATAGGTTCTTTACGGGGATAAACTAATGGGGGGTCATTTGGGGGGGATAAACTAATAAGGGAGGGTTCTTTGGGGGGATAAGATAATAAAGGGGGGCTCCTTTGGGGGGACAAACTAATGGGGAGGATCCATTGGGGGAAACTAATGGGGGGGGTCATTTGGGGGGCTAAACTAATAAGGGGGGTCCTTTGGGGGGATAAACTAATAGGAAGGGTTCTTTGGGGGCATAAACTAATAGGGGGGTCGTCTGGGGGGGGCTAAACTAATAGGGATGGTTCTTTGAGGAGAATAAACTAATAAAGGGGTGTTCTTTGGGGGGGGGATAAGCTAACAGGAGGGGTCCTTTGAGGGGAATAAATAAGTAAGAGGAATTCTTTGACAGGGATAAAGTAAGGGGGGGTCCTTTGGGGGGGGATAAATAAAGAGGTTCCACCCCCCGCAGTCCTCTCACCTTTCAGATCGCCGGCAAAAGCAGCAGGGGGGGCCCGGTAAAGCGCTCCCAGCTCCCACCAGGAGCGGGGGGGCAGAGGCCGGCAGCGGGGTGCTCGGGCCACGATGGCAGCGGCGGCCCCCAACATCCCCAACCAGCCGAGCCAGAAGAGGAGCAGGAGGATGGCACGGGCCTTGGCCCAGGGGGGGGTCCCGGCCGCCCGCAGCAGCTCCTCCTTCCCCAGCCCTGTGAACTTGGAGCCCCCCGATTCAATGGGGATCCCCAGTTCCTCGGGCAGCTTCACCAGCCCGTTCTTCTCCCCACCGGGGGGGCCCGGCTCGGCCTCGGGGGGGGGTGCCGCGTCCTCTTCCCCGGCCGCCGCCATCGGCTCCTTCTCCGCTTCCAGCGCCGACAGCTCCAGGTCGCGGGGGGAGGATTCCGTGTCCGCCTCCATGGTCTGGGGGGGGGAAACCCCAAAATATTTCATTAAGGGGGGGCTCCTGCAGCTCATGACTCCCCCCCCCCAAATCCACTCAGAGAGACCCTGAGGACCCCCAGAGACGCTTTGGGATGCTCCTCACACATTAACCCCCCCCAGACACCCCAAAACCCTCAGGAGGGCTTCAACCACCTCCCTGCACCCCAATGTCCTTATGGGGGCTCTTTAACATCCTGCAGAGCACCCTAATGCTCTGGGGGGGGATGTTTCTTAATACCCCCCCCCAATGTCCTTACAGGAGGCCTGAGTCCGGCACCCCATGAACCCCGCCGGGCACCCCAATATCTTCACAGTGTGTGGTGGATGCCCCCCCCCCCACCCGCACCCTCAATTTCCCGTGGTGAAACCCTGAGCTCCTTCCTGAACCCCCAAAAGCCCCTTCTGGACCTCCTGGGCCCCCCCCTCGGGCCTCCCACCACCACCCGGGCCGGCCGCTACCTTCGCTCGCTGCTGCTGACTGGAATGGGGGGGCAAGCGCCTTCAGGCGCCCCCTTTTATACCCTCGCTGGCCACGCCCACCCAGCCCAGGCCACGCCCCCGGCGCCGCCGAGGCGCCTGACCGGGCCGGCTCAAAGGGCACGAGGCGCGGAGGGGGGGGCAGACACCGGCGCTGGACCCGGGTGATGAAACGGGAACCCCCGGGGCGGTTTGGGCTGTCCCGCTCCGCCCCTCACCGCGGGTGTACAACGACTGTGGGGCCTCGGCCGCTGTTCCTCGTTGGGGGCCCTCGTCACTCCTCGTCCAATCCGGGGTGTTCCCCCCCCCCCCGCCGCCATTTTGTTGCACCCCAACTTGCCCCCATTTTGTTGTACCCCAGGGAGGCGCCATTTTGACGCGCTATGGGGAGGTACCATTTTGGGATACCCCCACGCTCCCCACAAGGCCATCCACACGGCTCTTCCTGACGGGGATCTCCGTCTCCGGGATTGCTAGATCCTCGTTGCTTGCTTTTCCGAGGGTGTCCGGCCCTTAGGAAGAGTCCCTAATGGCGCTGCCCCTTCATTCCCCCCCCCAATCCCCACAGAATGGTACCTCCCCCGCCCTATCACAACACCCCTCCGCCGTGGCGCGTTAGTGACAACCAATGAAAACCGTGCCCTGGCGGAAGTACATCCCTACCCGGAAGCGACCGGGACGGAACCGGCGCCGTTGCTATGGTGACAGCCCCGGAAGTGAAGCTTCGCTCCCGGAAGTGGCGGCGGCGGCGCGGCGGCCATGGGCTCCTCGAAGAAGCACCGGGATCGCGGCGGGGCCGAAGGGGCCGAGGAGGCTCCGGCGGCAGCGGGAGGGACCCCGGCGGGGGGGAGCGGCGCCGCGGGGCGGCCCCGTGAGCACCGGAAGCACCGGCACCGCGGCGGCGAGCGCAGGGGGAAGCGCAGCCGCTCCCGGGGGGAGCGAAGTGGCGGCGGCGGCGGCTCCGGTTCTTCCTCCTCCCGCCGTAGCGGCCCTGAGGAGCCGGGGAGGAGCGGCCATGGCCGCGGAGGCGCCGAGGCCGAGCGGCGGGGGAAGAGGGAGCGGCGGGAGGAGCGGGAGGAGCCCGGTGAGGAAGCGGGGGGGGAGGGAGAGGGCATTTATTGGGGTACGTGGTGCACTGGGGGTGGTTATGGTTATGGGGTGCCTTGGGGGGTGCTTATGGGGCACTGGGGGCGTTGGGAGGGGGGGGCTGGAAGGGGTTTGGGGGTGTTTATGGGGTGTCTGGGGGTGTTTGTGGGGCACGGGGGAGGGGTTTGGTGGGGTTATGGGGTGCTAAGGTTAACTAGCGGGTATGTGGGGTGTTTGTGGGTCACAGGGAGGGGGATTGGGGTGTTTATGGTGTATCTGGGGGTGTTTGTGGGGCACTTGAGGGGTTTGGTGGGGTTATGGGGTGCTAGGGTTGACTATGGGGTATGTGGGGTGGTTTGTGTGGGGCTGGAACGGGTTTGGAGGTGTTCATGGGGTATCTGGAGGTGTTTGTGGGGCACAGGGGAGGGGTTTGGTGGAGTTATGGGGTGCTAGGGTTGACTGTGGGGTATCTGGGGTGGTCTTTTGGTCACAGAGGAGGGGTTTGGGGGGCCTGGAGGGGGGTTGTGAGGCACTTGAAGGGGTGTTCATGCGGTGTAGGGGAGCTTTGGGGGCCCATTGTGGGCCTGGGGGTTACTTATGGGGTTACATGGGGGGTCGTTGGCGGTGTGTGTGAACCTATAGGGCTACAGAAGCATTAACCAATACCCCCCCCTCCAGCTGCAGCCCCCAAAGCTGCAGGCGAATCATCCCTCAGCGTGGAAGAAACCAAGTGAGTGACCCCCCCCCCCCCCCATCCCCATTCCCCCCCACTTTGGGTGTCCCCAGCCCCCCTCACCCCCTTATCCTTGTGCCCCCCCCCAGCAAACTCCGGGCCAAGCTGGGCCTGAAACCACTGGAGACAACGACAGTCAAGAAGGGTGAGTGGTGCCCCCCCCCCCAAACATCCCCCCCAAGATTTGGGGGCACCCAGCACCCATTTGGGGGTGTTTTGTGTCCCGTCCCCCCCCCAGAGGCTGGCACCAAGGAGGACCCGGTGGCAGCGGACGTCATCAACCCCCTGGTGCAGCGCCAGCGGGAGGAGATCCGGGAGAAGCTGGCGGCTGCCAAAGAGAAGCGGCTCCTGAACCAGAAACTGGGGTGAGGAGCCCCCAAAATGGCCTTTTTTAACCCCAAAATGTGCCTTTGGAACCTTAAAATCTCTGGTTTTAATCCCAGATTGTTCCCTTTTAACCCTAAAATGGCTGCTTTTTATCTCAGAATGTGTTTTTAACCCTAAAACGTCTGTTTTTAACCTCAAAATGTTTCTTTTTAACTCCAGAATGTGTATTTTTAGTCCCAGAATGTCGCTTTTAACCCTAAAATGTGTACTTTTAACCCGGAAGTGTTTCTTTTTAGCTCTAAAATGTCTACTTTTAACACCAAAATTTCTGTTTTTAATTCTAAGATGTCTCTTTTTAGCTCCAAGATGTTCCTATTTAACCTTAAAATGTCTTTTTTTCAGCCTGAAAATGTCTTTTTAACTCTAAAATGTCTATTTTTAACCTCAAAATGTTTTTTTAGCTCTAAAATGAGTATTTTTGATATTCAAAAATTCTTTTTTACCCTAAAATGTGTACTTTTAACCTCAAAATGTTTCTCTTTAAGTTTAAAATGTCTACTTTTACCCCCAAATCTTCCTTTTTGACCTCCAAATCTTCCCTTTTAACCCCACAATGTCCTTTTTTAACCCCAAAATGTTTATTTCTAACCCCAAAATGTTCCCTTTAACCCTAAAATGTTCCTTTTTAACCTCTGAATGTTCTTTTTTAACCTCAAAATGTTGCTTTTAACCCTAAAACGTCCCTCTGTAATCCTAAAACATTTATTTTCAGCATGAAAATGTTTTTTTTTAACCATAAAATGCCTATTTTTAACCCCAAAATATTTTTTTTAACCCTTGAATGTGTCTTTTTAACACCAAAATGTTACTTTTTAACCTTAAAACATTTATTTTCTCTCCGGAAATGTTCTTTTTTAACCCCAAAATGTCCCTTTTTAACCCCAAAATGTCCCTTTTTAACCTCAAAATGTTCTTTTTTAACCCCAAAATGTCCCTTTTTAACCCCTCCAAGGAAGATCAAGACGCTGGGGGAGGATGATCCATGGCTGGATGACACGGCTGCCTGGATTGAGAGGAGCCGGAAGCTGCAGCAGGAGAAGGAGCTGGCAGAGAAGAGGGTGAGTGATGAGGGGGGGATGACACCCCTAAACCACCCCAGATTTAACAAAACCAGGCTTAAAATGGTGACTTCACCCCAAGTTTGAAGTGGTTTGGGGCCACGGGAGCCTTTAAATGTGTTTTCTATTGAGATTACCTAAAAATCTTTGGGAAAATGATGGTTTTGGGCAATCAACTCCCTTTTCCAGAAGGTTTTTTAGTGGTTTTTAGGCAAATTGGGTCTATTTTCACCCAATTTCCACTTTCCCCTCCTCGTGGGCCCATTGAGGCACTGGTTGGGCTTTACCTGGTCACAGAACATTGAGTTCATTGGGGTTGATGGCGATATCGGTGTTCAGATGCTCTTTGATAGGACCTGGTCGATATTCTTCACTGCTCCTCCAAATGTAGAGGTTGGAGTGGAGGTTTTGGGGTGTTTCAGGTTGATTTGAAGGCTTTTAAAGCCCAAATTAAGGTTAGGGATGTCCTGACACCCCTTCCCATAGAACCTTTAGGAGATGGTTGGGAACATCCATGCATTGGGTTCACATTTCCCGTGCCTCTTCCCATTCCAGGCCAAGCTGCTGGAGGAGATGGACCAGGAGTTCGGCGTCAGCACCTTGGTGGAGGAAGAGTTCATGAGGAGGAAGAGGGTGAGCTGGGGACATTCAAGGACCCTTCTGGACCCTCCCCTTCCCCCCCAGTGTCCATCCTGACCCCCCCATGTCCCGTGTGTGTACCCCCCCCCCAGGACCTATACAGTGCACGGGACCTGCAGGGGCTGACGGTGGAGCACGACTTGGGCGCCTTCCGGGAGGGAGAGACCCTCGTCCTCACCCTCAAGGACAAGGGTGAGGTGGGGGGACATGGGCTCTGTGACACACCCCCCCCCCCCCCCCAAGTGGCAAAAGGCTGGGGGGTGGTCCTGGTACCACATCCACCCTCAGTGGGATGCAGCGCCAAGAGGCTTGGGGGTGGTTATAGAGCATCTTGTGGGGCACAGGGGAGGAGTTTGTGGCGGGCTGGAGGGGGATTGGGGGGTGCTTATGTGGTGTAGTGGAGTTTTGGGGCTCTGTGGTGGTAGTGATGGGGCCCTGTGTCCTCCCAGGGGTGCTGGAGGAGACGGAGGACGTGCTGGTGAACGTCACGCTGGTGGCCGAGGAGCAGGCGCAGGAGAACCTGGAGCTGCGCAAGAAGAAGCCCCCCTATGTCCCCTATGAGGACGAGGACCCCGCTGCTGCCACCCAGGTACCCCCCATCCGAACGCCTCCCTGCGTGTGTCCCCCTTCCCACAGGCGTGTTATCTCATGTTAACGCGTGTTTCCACGTGCTCTTGCGTGTTATCCTATGTCACGTTACCCGATGTTATCCCATGGTGTTATTGTATGTTATCCTATGGTATCGCGTGTTATTCCATGTTATTTCATGTTACCTTTGTTGTCCCATGGGATCCCATGTCATGCTATGTTAATATCCCGTGTCGCTGTCCCATGTCGCTGTCCCGTGTCGTTATCCCATGTTCTGGCATGATATCCCATGTTATCCCATGTCATCCTGTGTTAATACCCCATGCCACTTCATGTTAACATCCCTCGTTATCCCGTGTCGTTGTCCCGTGTCATTGTCCTGTGTCCTGGCATGATATCCCATGTTATCCCATGTCATCCTGTGTTAATACCCTATGCCACTTCATGTTAACATCCCTCGTTATCCCATGTCATTGTCCCGTGTCATTGTCCTGTGTCCTGGCATGATATCCCATGTTATCCCATGTCATCCTGTGTTAATACCCTATGCCGCTTCATGTTAACATCCCTTGTTGTCCCGTGTCGTTGTCCTGTGTCGTTGTCCCGTGTCGTTGTCCCATGTCCTGGCATGATATCCCATGGTATCCCATGTCATCCTGTGTTAATACCCCATGCCACTTCATGTTAACATCCCTCGTTGTCCCGTGTCGTTGTCCCGTGTCCTGGCATGATATCCCATGGTATCCCATGTCATCCTGTGTTAATACCCCATGCCACTTCATGTTAACATCCCTCGTTGTCCCATGTCGTTGTCCCGTGTCCTGGCATGATATCCCATGTTATCCCATGTCATCCTGTGTTAATACCCCATGCCACTTCACGTTAACATCCCCTGTCGTTATCCCCTGTCGTTATCCCCTGTCGTTATCCCCTGTCGTTATCCCCTGTCGTTATCCCCTGTCGTTATCCCCTGTCCTGGCATGATATCCCATGGTATCCCATGTCATCCTGTGTTAATACCCCATGCCACTTCATGTTAACATCCCTCGTTGTCCCGTGTCGTTGTCCCGTGTCCTGGCATGATATCCCATGGTATCCCATGTCATCCTGTGTTAATACCCCATGCCCCTTCACGTTAACATCTCTCGTTACCCCTTGCTATTATCTCGTGTTCTCACATGTTATCCCCCACTATCTCATGTTATCTCATGCCCTTATTTCATGTTATTCCATGTTGTTACCCCATGTGGTTATTCCATGTTATCCTATGTCATGGGAGGTGTCCCCCCCTATAGCAGGGGGGTTGGACCCGGATGATCTTAAGGTCCTTTCCAACTCTTAAGTCTTCTATGGTACCCCATGCCCTCACCCCATGCCCTCACCCCATGCCCTCACCCCATGCCCTCACCCCATGCCCTCACCCCATGCCCTCACCCCATGTTATCCATGTGTTCCCATGCACAGGGCCCCAAGGAACACGTGGTGCTCCCCAAATACGCCGACCCCCCCCAGCGCCCCTCCTTCCGCCTGGGGACGCAGGGGACAGTGGGGGGGGGACCAGGGGACCCCCGGCAGCAGCCCCCCACCTCCACAGGCCCAGCCCCCCAGAGCCTGGAGCTGCCCCCCCTGCGCCTGGCCCCCGAGTACCTGACACCACAGGAGATGGTGAGGCTGGGGGGGGGTGGGGGGGTGGGTTTGGGGGGATTTGAGTCCTTTTTTGGAGGGTTGGGGTGATTTGAGTCTTTTTGAGGGGGTGATTTGAGTCTTTTTGGGGGGGTTGGGGTGATTTGAGTCTTTTTGAGGGGGTGATTTGAGTCTTTTTGGGGGGGTTGGGGTGATTTGAGTCTTTTTGAGGGGGTGATTTGAGTCTTTTTGGGGGGGTTGGGGTGATTTGAGTCTTTTTGAGGGGGTGATTTGAGTCTTTTTGGGGGGGTTGGGGTGATTTGAGTCTTTTTGAGGGGGTGATTTGAGTCTTTTTGGGGGGGTTGGGGTGATTTGAGTCTTTTTGAGGGGGTGATTTGAGTCTTTTTGGGGGGGGTTGGGGGTGATTTGAGTCTTTTTGGGGGGGTTGGGGTGATTTGAGTCCTTTTTGGGGGGCTTGGGGGTGATTTGAGTCCTTATTTGGGGGTGATTTATGTTCTTTTGGGGGGGTTGAAGTGATCTGAGTTCTTTTGGGGGGCTTTGGGGTGAGTTATTTTGGGGGGCTTTGGGGTGAGTTATTTTGGGGGGGTTGGGTGATTTGAGTCCTTTTAGGGAGGTTTTGGGGTGATTTGAGTCTTTTTGGGGAGGTTTTGGGGTGATCTGAGTCCTTTTGGGGGGCCTTTGGGGTGATTTGAGTCTTTTTGGGGAGGTTTTGGGGTGATCTGAGTCCTTTTAGGGAGGTTTTGGGGTGATTTGAGTCCTTTTCGGTGATGACTTGTTTTTTTTTGTGTGGCTTCGTGGGCTTCTGGAGTGAATTGGGTCATTTAGGGGCGATTTCAGTGTTTTCAGAGGTTGATTTAGGTCCTTTTGGGGTGATTTCAGTGTTTTCAGAGGTTGATTTAGGTCCTTTTGGGGTGATTTCAGTGTTTTCAGAGGGGGATTTGGATCCTTTTGGGGTGATTTAAGTGTTTTCAGAGGTTGATTTAGGTCCTTTTGGGGTGATTTCAGTGTTTTTAGAGGGGGATTCGGATCCTTTTGGGGTGATTTCAGTGTTTTCAGAGGTTGATTTAGGTCCTTTTGGGGTGATTTCAGTGTTTTCAGAGGTTGATTTAGGTCCTTTTGGGGTGATTTCAGTGTTTTCAGAGGTTGATTTAGGTCCTTTTGGGGTGATTTCAGTGTTTTCAGAGAGGGATTTGGATCCTTTTGGGGTGATTTCAATGTTTTCAGAGGGGGATTTGGATCCTTTTGGGGTGATTTCAGTGTTTTCAGAGGGAGATTTGGATCCTTTTGGGGTGATTTCAGTGTTTTCAGAGGTTGATTTAGGTCCTTTTGGGGCGATTCCAGTGTTTTCAGAGGGGGATTTGGATCCTTTTGGGGTGATTTCAGTGTTTTCAGAGGGGGATTTGGATCCTTTTGGGGTGATTTCAGTGTTTTCAGAGGGGGATTTGGATCCTTTTGGGTGATTTCAGTGTTTTCAGAGGGGGATTTGGATCCTTTTGGGGTGATTTCAATGTTTTCAGAGGGGGATTTGGATCCTTTTGGGGTGATTTCAGTGTTTTCAGAGGGGGATTTGGATCCTTTTGGGGTGATTTCAGTGTTTTCAGAGGGAGATTTGGATCCTTTTGGGGTGATTTCAGTGTTTTCAGAGGGGGATTTAGGTCCTTTTGGGGCGATTTCAGTGTTTTCAGAGGGGGATTTAGGTCCTTTTGGGGCAATTTCAGTGTTTTCAGAGGGGGATTTGGATCCTTTTGGGGCGATTTCAGTGTTTTCAGAGGGGGATTTGGATCCTTTTGGGGTGATTTCAGTGTTTTCAGAGGTTGATTTAGGTCCTTTTGGGGTGATTTCAGTGTTTTCAGAGGGGGATTTGGATCCTTTTGGGGTGATTTCAGTGTTTTCAGAGGTTGATTTAGGTCCTTTTGGGGTGATTTCAGTGTTTTCAGAGGGGGATTTGGATCCTTTTGGGGTGATTTCAGTGTTTTCAGAGGTTGATTTAGGTCCTTTTGGGGTGATTTCAGTGTTTTCAGAGGTTGATTTAGGTCCTTTTGGGGCGATTTCAGTGTTTTCAGAGGGGGATTTGGATCCTTTTGGGGTGATTTCAGTGTTTTCAGAGGTTGATTTAGGTCCTTTTGGGGCGATTTCAGTGTTTTCAGAGGGGGATTTGGATCCTTTTGGGGTGATTTGGGCTCTTCTTGGGGGGGGTGGGGGGGATGTGTCCCTGCCCCGGGGCATTGTGGCTAATGGGGGTGTCCCCCCCCCCATCAGGAGCCGTTCCGGCGGCAGCGGCGCCGCGTGCGGCGGCTCCGGAAGAAGGAGAAACCGCTCCGGGCCGACGACCTCCTGCCCCTGGCCCCCGGGGACACGAGGGGGGACTTCGGCTCCAGGTGCGGGACCCCCTCAATGGCACCCATGGGACCTCCCCCTTGACCAGCACCCATGGGGTCCTCCTCACCGCACCCATGGGACCCCCTCAGTGGCACCAATGGGACCTCCCCGTTGACCAGCACCCATGGGGTCCTCCTCACCGCACCCATGGGACCCCCTCAGTGGCACCCATGGGACCTCCCCGTTGAGCAGCACCCATGGGGTCCCCCTCACTGCACCCATGGGGTCCTTCTCACCGCACCCATGGGACCCCCTCAATGGCACCCATGGGACCTCCCCGTTGAGCAGCACCCATGGGGTCCCCCTCACTGCACCCATGGGGTCCTTCTCACCGCACCCATGGGACCCCCTCAACGGCACCCATGGGACCTCCCCGTTGACCAGCACCCATGGGGTCCCCCTCACTGCACCCATGGGGTCCTTCTCACCGCACCCATGGGACCCCCTCAATGGCACCCATGGGACCTCCCCCTTGACCAGCACCCATGGGGTCCTCCTCATTGCACCCATGGGGTCCTTCTCACCGCACCCATGGGACCCCCTCAATGGCACCCATGGGACCTCCCCCTTGACCAGCACCCATGGGGTCCTCCTCATTGCACCCATGGGGTCCTTCTCACCGCACCCATGGGACCCCCTCAATGGCACCCATGGGACCTCCCCGTTGAGCAGCACCCATGGGGTCCTCCTCATTGCACCCATGGGGTCCCCCTCACTGCACCCATGGGGTCCCCTCACCATACTCATGGGACCCCCCCCTTGACCAGCACCCATGGGGTCCTCCTCACTGCACCTATGGGACCCCCTCAATGGCACCTATGGGACCTCCCCCTTGACCAGCACCCATGGGGTTCCCCACACCACACCCATGGGATCCCCCTCACCGTACCCATGGGACCTCCCCCTCACCGCACCCATGGGGTCCCCTCACCGTACTCATGGGACCTCCCCCTTGACCAGCACCCATGGGATCCCCGTCAGCACACCCATGGGACCCCCTCAATGGCACCTATGGGACCTCCCCGTTGACCAGCACCCATGGGATCCTCCTCACCGCACCCATGGGATCCCCCTCATGGCACCCATGGGACCTCCCCCTCACCGCACCCATGGGGTCCCCCTCACCACACCCATGGGATCCCCCTCACCGTACCCATGGGACTACCCCCATGACCAACACCCATGGGATCCCCCTCACTACACCCATAGGGTCCCCCTCCCTGCACCCATGGGGTCCCCCTCCCTGCACCCATGGGACCCCCCCTTGACCAGCACCCATGGGGTCCTCCTCACTGCACCCATGGGACCCCCTCAATGGCACCCATGGGACCTCCCCGTTGACCAGCACCCATGGGGTCCTCCTCACCGCACACATGGGACCCCCTCAATGGCACCCATGGGACCTCACCCTTGATCAGCAACCCATGGGGTCCTCCTCACCGCACCCATAGGGTCCCCCTCACTGCACCCGTGGGATCCCCCCCTTGACCAGCACCCATGGGATCCCCCTCACCGCACCCATGAGACCCCCGCCTTGACCAGCACCCATGGGATCCCCCTCACCACATCCATAGGGTCCCCCTCACTGCACCCATTGGATCCCCCTAACCACACCCATGGGATCCCCCCTTGACCAGCACCCATTGGATCCCCCTCACCACACCCATGGGATCCCCCACCCTTGACCAGCACCAATGGGATCCCCCTCACTGCACTCATGGGACCCCCCCTACCTTGACCAGCACCAATGGGACCCCCCAGCCAGTGCTCCGGGACTCCCCCCAGTCAGCACTGATGGGACCCCCACTGATCAGCACTCATGGGAAACCTGAGCCAGCACCCATGGGATCCCCCCCTGACCAGCACCAATGGGACCCCCCCAACCATCCTCTGACAAGCACCAATGGGACCCCCCCCAGTCAGCACCTGTGAGATCCCCCTGACCAACACCCATGGGACCCCTTGACCAGCACCCATGGGACCTCCTGACCAGCACACCCAACATCAATGGGACCCCCCCAATCAGCACTCATGGGAACCCCTGACCAGCACCCATCAGATCCCCCATGACCAACATCAATGGGACCCCCCCAGTCAGCACCCATGGGAACCCCTGACCAGCACCCATCAGCACCCCCCAACTGGGGACCCCCCTTGACTAGCAACCCCAGCACCAATGGGACCCCTCGACCAGCACCCATGAGATCCCCCCACTCAGCACCCATTGGACCCCAGACTGGTGTATAAGGAACACCAGCACCCACAGCACCCATTGCAGCCCCCAATCTCCCCTCATTATCACGTGACACACACCCCCCCCCCCAACAGGTCCCGAGGCCGCGGTCGCCGGGTGCAAGAGGATGAGGATGGTGCTGAAGGGGAGGGGGAGGCCCCCTCCAGCCCCCCCCCAGGAGACCCCCCCCAGCTCCCCTCTGATGACACCCGCCTGGAGAGCATGGACATCAGCAGCGAGGGTGAGGGCACCCGGAGTGCTGGGGGGGGGACACGATGGGGACACCCAGGGTGCTGGGGGGGTGCAGGGGGGGCCCTGCTGATGGGTGCCCCCCCACCCCCCCCCAGAGGAGGTGCAGGGCCCGGCCTCGCCGCGGGTGCTGGATGAGGACGATGCTGAGCAGGAGCTGCAGCAGCAGCTGGAGAAGGGCCGGAGGCTGCGGCAGCTCCAGCAGCTGCGGGAGGCCCCCGGGGAGAAGGTGAGAGCACCCATGGGACCCCCCCATAGCACCCATGGGATCCCCCATAGCACCCATGGGACCCCCCCCATAGCACCCATGGGATCCCCCATAGCACCCATGTGATCCCCCCATAGCACCCATGTGATCCCCCATAGCACCCATGGGACCCACCCATAGCACCCATGGGAGCCCCCATAGCACCCATGTGATCCCCCCATAGCACCCATGTGATCCCCCCATAGCACCCATGGGACCCCCCCATAGCACCCATGGGACCCCCCCCCATAGCACCCATGTGATCCCCCCCATAGCACCCATGGGACCCCCCCATAGCACCCATGGGATCCCCCATAGCATCAATGGGATTCCTCCATAGATTCCATGGGATCCCCACGTAGCACCCATGGGACATCCACCCCATAGCACCCATGGGACCCCCCCCATAGCACCCATGGGACCCCCCCATAGCACCCATGGGACCCCCCATAGCATCAATGGGATTCCTCCATAGATTCCATGGGATCCCCACGTAGCACCCATGGGACATCCACCCCATAGCACCCATGGGACCCCCCCCATAGCACCCATGGGACCCCCCCCATAGCACCCATGGGACCCCCCCATAGCACCCATGGGACCCCCCATAGCATCAATGGGATTCCTCCATAGATTCCATGGGATCCCCACATAGCACCCATGGGACATCCACCCCATAGCACCCTTGGGACCCCCTCATAGCACCCATAGACCCTCCCATAGCACCCATAGACCCTCCCATAGCACCCATAGACCCTCCCATAGCACCCATGGGCTCGGACCCTGTTGTCCTGACCCCCATTGCCCCCAGGTGCTGGAGCTGGTGCGGGGCTTTGGGGGGGCGCCGGGGCCGGATCCCCGCTCCGGAGCCATCGTCTTCAACGCCACATCCGAGTTCTGCCGGACCCTGGGAGAGATCCCGACATATGGACTGGCTGGGAACAGGGAGGAGCAGGAGGAGCTCATGGTGGGCATGGGGAATGGGATGGGGGGGACGGGGGGGGCAGGAGGAGCTCATGGTGGGCATGGGGAATGGGATGGGGGGGACTGGGGGGAGCTCATGGTGGGCATGGGGAATGGGATGGGGGGGACTGGGGGGAGCTCATGGTGGGCATGGGAAATGGGATGGGGGGGACTGGGGGGGCAGGAGGAGCTCATGGTGGGCATGGGGAATGGGATGGGGGGGACTGGGGGGGCAGGAGGAGCTCATGGTGGGCATGGGGAATGGGCTGGGGGGGCAGGAGGAGCTCATGGTGGGCATGGGGAATGGGATGGGGGGGCAGGAGGAGCTCATGGTGGGCATGGGGAATGGGATGGGGGGACAGGAGGAGCTCATGGTGGGCATGGGGAATGGGCTGGGGGGGACTGGGGGGGCAGGAGGAGCTCATGGTGGGCATGGGGAATGGGATGGGGGGGACTGGGGGGGGCAGGAGGAGCTCATGGTGGGCATGGGGAATGGGATGGGGGGACAGGAGGAGCTCATGGTGGGCATGGGGAATGGGATGGGGGGGGCAGGAGGAGCTCATGGTGGGCATGGGGAATGGGATGGGGGGGGCAGGAGGAGCTCATGGTGGGCATGGGGAATGGGATGGGGGGGACTGGGGGGGCAGGAGGAGCTCATGGTGGGCATGGGGAATGGGATGGGGGGACTGGGGGGGAATGGGGAGGGGGAACTGGGATGGGAACGGGGGGGGAACTGGGAAGGGGACTGGGAGGGGGACGGGGGGGGAACTGGGATGGGGGACTGGGATGGGAACGGGGTGGGGGGAACTGGGATGAGGGGGTGGGAACTAGGAGGGGAATGGGGAGGGGGACTGGGAGGGGAACTGGGATGGGAACTGGGGTGGGGAGGGGACTGGGAGGAGAACTGGGATGGGAACAGGGATGGGAAGTGGGGTGGGGGAGATGGGAAGTGGGATGGGGGGGATGGGACCTGGAATGAGGACATGGGAACTGGGATAGAAGGGATGGGATCTGGAATGGGGGGGATGGGACTTGGAATGGGGCAGATGGGACCTGGGATAGGGAGTTGGGACCCATAATATGGGGGTCAGTACATGGAATAGGGGAGTTGGAGTCTAGAATGTGGGGGCTGGGAACTGGAATAGGGGACTGAGACCTGGAATGGGGGTGTTGGGACTGAGAATGGGGGGGCTGGGACCCAGAATGTGGGGGGGTGGCACCTGGAATGGGGGTTTGGGAGCTGGAATGGGAGGTTGGGACCTGGAAAGAGTGGATTGGGACCCAGAATGGGGGGTTGGGACCTGGAATGGGGGTTTGGGACCTAGAATGGGGGGCTCAGGACCTGGAAAAGGGGGGCAAAATGAGGGGCTGGGGTCTGATATGAGGGTACAGGGGGTGTGGGGAGACAAAAAGGGGGTGAAAGAAAGGTGCAGGGTTTGGGGGGGGCTGTGGTCACTTTGGGGGCCCCCATGTCACTGTATGTGCCCCCTCCCCAGGCCCTGGAGCGTACTTCGGGGCGCCCGTCCCCCCCCGAAGCCCCCGATTCCGAGGGGGAGGAGAACATGGGCTGGAGCAGCGTGAACCTGGCTGAGGAGCGGCAGCAGCAGGATGTGAGCACCCCAAAACTTGAGGGGGGCACCCCAAAACTTGAGGGGGGCACCCCAAAACACAGTGGGGCCCCTCTAGGGGCTCTTCTGCTCTGATTTGTGGGGGGGAATGTACCCCTTGGGGGGTGATGGGGTCCATTAAAACTGCTTGGGGGGGGTCCCCCACATTGTGGGGGGGTCTCTGAACCCCTTTCCCCCCCCTTCCCCCCCCAGTTCTCAGCCTCCTCCACCACCATCCTGGATGAGGAGCCCATCGTGAACCGGGGCCTGGCTGCAGCCCTGCTGCTCTGCCAGAACAAGGGTGAGCAAGGGGGCTATGGGGGGGTGTCACGGTCCCTATGGGGGGATTTGGGGTCCCTAGATTTGGGGTCCCTGTGGGGAGATTTGGGGTCCCTATGGGGAAGGTTGGGGTCAGTTTGTGGCATGGGGAGGGTTACTGGAGTTCCCTTGAGGTGGTTTGGGGACCTTGTTATGGGGGGCTTGGAGAGCTCTATAGGGTGAATTGGGGGGGGGTCTATAGGGTGACATGGGAACTATGGGGGCCCTATAGAGGGGGTCTCTAGAATGATTTGGGGAGTGTTGAGGGCATCTATGGGGGCCCTATAGGGGTGTCTGGGCTCCCTATGGGGTATTGGGGTGTCTCTGCCCCCCCTGATCCCCCTCTTTCCCCCCCTCCAGGGCTGCTGGAGACAACAGTGCAGAAGGTGGCACGAGTGAAGGCACCCAACAAGTCCCTGCCCTCGGCCGTTTACTGCATCGAGGACAAGATGTGGGTGATGCCCCCCCCATCTCCCCTATGTGGGGTGCACAAGCACTGCCCCATCCCTGTGCACCCCTTTCCTTGTGTGTGTCCCCCCACATCCTGCTTTGTCTCCATCCCTGTGTCCCGCATCCCCCTACATCCATCCCTCTGTGGTCCTTCATCCCTGGGTGTCCCCACATCCCTCTGTGTCCCCTGCTTCCCTCTGTGGTCCCCATCTCTGCATCCCCTCACATCCCCCTATGTCCCCCACATCTGTGTCCCCATCCTAGTGTCACCCTACATCCCTCTGTGGCCCCCACATCCCTTCTTGGCCCCTCGTCCCTGTGTCCTACATCCCTCTGCATTCCCCTACATCCCTCTATGCCCCCCACATCCCTCCATGGTCCCTCATCCCTCTGTGTCCCCCCACATCCTTCAGTATCCTCTGCATCCCTCTGTGTTCCCCATCCTTGTGTCCCTATCCCTGCATCCCCTCACATCCCTCCATGTCCCTATCCCCGTGCCCCCTATATCCTTCCATGTCTCCCATCCCTATGTCCTAACACATCCGTGTCCCCATCCCAGTGTCACCCCACATTGCTTTGTCCCCTGCATCCCTCTGTGTCCCCTGCATCCTTCTGTGTCCCTTGCATCCCTGTTTCCCATCCCTGTTCTCATCCCTGCATCCTCTCACATCCCTCCATGTCCCCATCCCCATGCCCCCCACCTCCCTCCGTGTCTCCCATCCCTATGTCCCCCCACATCTGCATCCCACATCGCTCTGTGTCCCCTCGCATCCCTCCGTGGTCCCTCATCCCTGTGTCCGACCCCATCCTTCTGTGTCCCCTGCATCCCTGTGGCCCCCCACATCCCTCCATGTCCCGGTCCCCATGTCACCCCCTATCCCTCTGTATCCCCACATCCTTCTGTGTCTCCTGCATCCCTCTGTGTTCCTCATCCTTGTGTCCTCGTTCCCGTATCCTCCACATCCCTCTGTGTTCCCCATCCCATGTCCCCCCCATCCCTTTGGGCCCCCCATCCCTGCGTGCCCCCCATCCCCTTGTCACCCTCCATCCCTCTACATCACCCCCCATCCCTGGGTGCCCCCCATCCCCTTGTCTCCTTCCATCACTCTGTATCCCCCCCATCCCTGCTTGCCCCCCATCCCCTTGTCCCCTTCTATCCCTCTGTACTCCCCCCATCCCTGGGTGCCCCCCATCCCCTTGTTATCCCCCATCCCTCTGCATCCCCCCCCATCCCTGGGTACCCCCCATCCCCTTGTCACCCCCCATCCCCTTGTCACCCCCCATCCCCTTGTCACCCCCCATCCCCTTGTCACCCCCCATCCCCTTGTCAACCCCATCCCTTTGTCACCCTCCATCCCTTTGTCACCCCCCATCCCTGGGTACCCCCCATCCCTGGGTACCCCCCATCCCCTTGTCAACCCCATCCCTGGGTACCCCTTATCCCTTTGTCACCCCCCATCCCTGGGTGCCCCCCATCCCTTTGTCACCCCCCATCCCTCTGCATCCCCCCCCTTCCCTGGGTACCCCCCATCCCCTTGTCACCCCCCATCCCTGGGTTCCCCCCATCCCCTTGTCAACCCCATCCCTGGGTACCCCCTATCCCTTTGTCACCCCCCATCCCTGGGTACCCCCATCCTCTTGTCACCCCCCATCCCTCTGCATCCCCCCTCATCCCTGGGTACCCCCCCAGCCCCTTGTCAACCCCATCCCTGGGTACCCCCCATCCCCTTGTCAACCTCATCCCTTTGTCACCCCCCCATCCCTGGGTACCCCACATCCCCTTGTCAACCTCATCCCTTTGTCACCCCCCCATCCCTGGGTACCCCCCATCCCCTTGTCAACCTCATCCCTTTGTCACCCCCCCATCCCTGGGTACCCCCCATCCCCTTGTCACCCCCCATCCCTCTGCATCCCCCCCCATCCCTGGGTACCCCCTATCCCCTTCTCACCCCCCCGGTGTGTCCCCCCCCCTTAGGGCCATCGATGACAAGTACAGCCGCCGGGAGGAATACCGGGGCTTCACGCAGGACTTCAAGGAGAAGGAGGGCTACCGGCCCGACGTCAAGATCGAGTACGTGGACGAGACCGGCCGCAAGCTCACCCCCAAAGAGGTGCTGAGGTGGGGGGACGGGGGCAATGGGGGGGCCCTGACCCCCCCTCGGTGTCCTCCTGACCCCCCTCTATGTGTGTGTGTCCTGTGTCCCCCCTCCAGGCATTCCGGCAGCTCTCCCATCGCTTCCATGGCAAAGGCTCGGGGAAGATGAAGACAGAGCGGAGGATGAAGAAGCTGGATGAGGAGGCGGTGAGTTGGGGGGGGGGCACTGCTGGGGGGGGTCCCTCTGCCCTTTTGGGCCCCATTGTGGCTCTTAAACACCCTTTTGAGCCCCATTGTAGCTCTTAAACACCCTTTTGAGCCCCATTGTGACTCTTAAACACCCTTTTGAGCCCCATTGTGGCTCTTAAACACCCTTTTGGGCCCCATTGTGGCTCTTAAACACCCTTTTGAGCCCCATTGTGGCTCTTAAACACCCTTTTGAGCCCCATTGGGGCTCTTAAACACCCTTTTGGGCTCCATTGTGGCTCTTAAACACCCTTTTGGGCTCCATTGTGGCTCTTAAACACCCTTTTGGGCTCCATTGTGGCTCTTAAACACCCTTTTGGGCTCCATTGTGGCTCTTAAACACCCTTTTGGGCCCCATTGTGGCTCTTAAACACCCTTTTGAGCCCCATTGTAGCTCTTAAACACCCTTTTGGGCCCCGTTGTGGCTCTTAAACACCCTTTTGAGCCCCATTGTAGCTCTTAAACACCCTTTTGGGCCCCATTGTGGCTCTTAAACACCCTTTTGGGCCCCGTTGTGGCTCTTAAACACCCTTTTGAGCCCCATTGTGGCTCTTAAACACCCTTTTGAGCCCCATTGTAGCTCTTAAACACCCTTTTGGGCTCCATTGTGGCTCTTAAACACCTTTTGGGGGTCCTTCAGTCCAGTTTGGGGGGGCTCTGAAGCCTTTTAGGGTTCATCCTGCCCCCACTGGAGTTCTTTGTTCTGATTTTGGGGTCCTCTTGGCTCCATTCAGCCCCTTGAACCCCAAGTTTGGGCCCCCCCCATCTTCTTTTTAACCCTCACCCCTCTTTTGGAACCCATTGGTGCAGAGATGGGACCACTTTGGGGTCCCCTCACTCCTGGGTTTCAGGGGGGATCCCCAAATTCAAACACACTGAGGCTTTTGGGGGGGGGGGTCCCTGGGTTTGGGGGGCTTGGTTCTGGGTGTCACCTGTGCCCCCCCCCCGTCTTCCAGCTGCTGAAGAAGATGAGCTCCAGTGACACCCCCCTGGGCACGGTGGCCCTGCTGCAGGAGAAGCAGAAGGCGCAGAAGACGCCGTACATTGTCCTGAGCGGCAGCGGGAAGAGCATGAACGCGTGAGCTGGGGGCACTGGGAGCAACTGGGAGCACTGGGAAAGGGGACGGGGGAGCACTGGGAGGGCCTGGGAGTGCTGGGAAGGGGACTGAGGAGCACTGGGAATGGGACAGGGGGGCACTGGGAGCACTGGGAGCACTGGGAAAGGGTCTCAGGGGCACTGGGAGTGCTGGGAGGGACTGGGGAGCACTGGGAAGGGGACTGGGGGGACTGGGAGCGATGGGAAGGGGACTCGGGCACTGGGAGCACACTGGGAAGGGGTCTCAGGGGCACTGTGAGTGCTGGGAAGGGGACTCAGCGGCACTGGGAGCGATGGGAAAGGGTCTCAGGGGCACTGGGAGGAACTGGGAAGGGGACTGGGGAGCACTGGGAGGGACTGGGAGTGCTGGGAACGGGACTGGGGAGCACTGGGAGGGATTGGGAGTGCTGGGAAGGGGACTGAGGAGCACTGGGAATGGGACAGGGGGGCACTGGGAAAGGGTCTCAGGGGCACTGGGTGGGACTAGGAGCGCTGTGAAAGGGACTGGGGGCACTGGGAGGGACTGGGGGACACTGGGAGGAACTGGGAGCACTGTGAAGGGGGCTGAAGAGCACTAGGAGGGACTGGGAGCACTGGGAAAGGGACTGGGGAGCACTGGGAATGGAGTAGTGCTGGAGGGCACTGGGATGGGATAGTGGGGGCTGGAATGGACACGGAGCATCTAGGATGAGGGATACTGGGATGGACACTGGGAGCTCTGACACCCCCCCCCCCCCTCTTTACTCCCCCAGGAACACCATCACCAAGTGATGCCTCATCCCCTCCTGTCCCATTCCCCCCATCCCCTTTGTCACCCCCTGGATAATAAAGACCGAAGGATGGTCCCTGAGTGTCACCAGAGCCTGGGGGGGGGGGGACGGGGACGGGGACAGGACAGGACAACAGCCCCCATCGTGTGTCACCACACGGCCTCAGTGCTACCAACAGTCCTTTATTGGGGAGCAGCCACCATGGGAACACCCCCCCTGTCCCCCCCGCCACCGGCCCTGGTGGCCTGGCCCCCAGTGTCCTTTGGGGGTGAGTGCTCCTTGTCATGTGTGTCCTCCTCGTCGTCATGTGTGTCCTCCTTGTCGTCACGTGTGTCATCTTCATCATGTGTGTGCTCTTCATCACGTGTGTCATCTTCATCATGTGAGTCCTCTTCATCATGTGAGTCCTCTTCATCACGTGAGTCCTCTTCATCACGTGAGTCCTCGCTGTCCCCCGTGTCCTCACTGTCCCCGGTCTCAGCCCCGGCCACCACCCGGTTGGTGTTAACGAAGAGCCCCCCCTCCCCATCACCGTCCCCATCAGGGGGGTGGCTGCAGAGGGGACATGGGGGGGGGGGGGTCACATGGGGACACGGGTGTTGGTGTGTCCTCAACTGACCCCTGGGTCAGAGCCACCCCCTCCCACCGGTGACACCCCAATAATGCTGCATTGTTGCCCCCCCCACTAACCTCAATTAACGCCCCTATTAATGACACCCCTATTATTGCCTCCCTTTAATGCCCCCCCGTTAATGTTCCCATTCATAACACCCCCATTAATGACATCCTTATTAATGCTCCCATTTGTAACACCCCCCTTAATGACATCCGTATTAATGTCCCCCATTAATGACATCCTTATTAATGGCTCTCATTAATGACACCCCTATTAATGCCTGCCTTTAATGGCCCCCCATTAATGCCCCCATTCAGAACACCCCCATTAATGACACCCTTATTAATGCCCCCATTTGTAACACCCCCTTAATGACACCCCTATTAATGTCCCCCATTAATGACACTTATTAATGCCCCTCATTAATGACACCCCTATTAATGCCCCCCATTAATGACACCCTTATTAATGCCCCCATTTGTAAGACCCCTATTATTGACACCCCTATTAATGCCCCCCATTAATGACACTCTTGTTAATACCTCCCTTTAATGACCCCCCATTAATAACCCCATTAATACCCCACCACTGACACCCCCATGTTATTATCCCCAGTTCACCCCCCTTATGCCATCTTCCCCCCCAGTTAACACCCCCCAACAATGAACCCCAATATCACACCCTATTTAACCCCCCCCTATTGGTGCCCCCACACACACTCACCCCTCCCTGTTCGGCCTCTCCACTGCAGCAAAGGCCTCAGGCCTGCAAGGAACAGTGGGGGGGTGTCAAAGGGGGGCTATGGGGGGGGGGGGGTTTGATTTGGGGGGGGGGTTGGACCCTACCATAGCCCCTGGCGCTGCAGGAAGCGGACGTGGGGGGGCAGGAGCACCAGGGAGATCTCAGCCTTGACCTTGGCCCCCTCCTCAATGGGATCAACCAACAAGAAGTCACCTGGGGGGGGGGGGGGGGGGGTGGAATTTGGGGGTCACCCCCTGGCACAGTGACAGCGGTGGCATCATGGGGGGGGGTGGGGAGGAGGGGGGGAGGGGGGGTCACCTCTCTTGATCCAGATGTGGCGGCGGAAGCGGGGGGGCATGCTGGCCAGGAACCGCGTCCCCTCGGGGGTCTCCACCTCGTGCAGGTTGTTCCCGGGGGTCCCCAACACCTTTGGGGGGGGGGGGGGGCACACACACAACACAGAGCAAGTCAAGGACAACCCCCCCCATTGTGTCCTATGGGGGGGGGGTCCATACCCCCTTCCCCCCCCCCTCGTCGCACCCTCACTACGCGCTGTCGCGGTGCCGGCATCACGTGCTCCTCCAGCAGCTCCCGCACCACGTGCTTCCGCTTGGTGGCGCGCGACATCCCGCGGCTGCGGCGACAACGTTGAAAGATGGGGGGGGGGGGGTGTGGGATGAGGAAACCGGATGAACCGGAACCGTTCCCCTCCAATAACACAGCACCGGGGGGGGGGGGGGGGGAACAGAACCGGCGGCCGCCGCCGCTTACCGGCGTCCGGTACTTCCGGGTGTGCGCGGAGTCACTTCCGGGAAGCGTAGTAGCGTCACCATAGAAGGGCGGGGCGTGGTTTACGTTTGTGGGCGGGCATGCAAAAGAGCATCGCGTCTGGGGGCACATTGATTGACAGGGAGGCGGGTGCCCTCTGATTGGCCGGGCAGCCGCTGATCGGCGCGGTGACGCCGTCGCTGATTGGTTGATGTGTCGCGGTCGCTGGTTGGCCGGGCGGCGCTTGCGCGCGGGTGCCGCGGCAAGATGGCGGCGGAGCGGGCTGAGGCGGCGGTGGCCGGTGGCGGAGCCGGGGTGTCCGGTAGCGGGGCCGAGGGGGCCCCGTACGCGAGCTGGGCCCCGGCCGAGCTCCAGGCCACGCTGGCCGGCATCGGAGCCCCTGCGCAGGGTGGGACCGGAGTGGGGAGGGTCCTGAGGGGTTCATCCGGGTACTCGGGATGCTGAGGGGAGGGGGGGGTCCACTGAGGTAAATGGGGCCCTAATGGGGTCCCCAGTGGGGGTGGAGGGTGTTGGGGGGGTCCCAAGTAGCTATTGCTGGGTGTGGGGGGTCTTTAGGGGTAGTTGAGGTGTTGGGGGGTCCCAAAGAGATGTTGGGGGTGCCCACGGGTAATCTGGGGGAGTCCTTTGGGGTAATGAGCGGGAGGTGGGATGTTGGGGGGTCCCAAAGAGATGTTGGGGGTGCCCAGGGGTAGTTTGGGGGGGTCCTTTGGGACAATGGGGGGGGGTTGAATGTTGGGGTGGGTCCTAAAGAGATGTTGGGGGTGCCCAGTAGTAGTTTGGGGGGGGGCCTTTGGGGTAATGGTGGGGGGTTGGATGTTGGGGGGGGGCCTAAAGAGGTGTTGGGGGTGTCCAGGAGTAGTCTGGGGGGGCCCTTTGGGGCAACTGGGGGGGGGTTGGATGTTTGGGGGGTGTCCTAAAGAGATGTTTGGGGTGCCTAGGAGTAGTTTGGTGGGGTCCTTTGGGGTGTAATGGTGGGGGGTTGGATGTTTGGGGGGTCCTAAAGAGATGTTTGGGGTGCCTAGGAGTAGTTTGGGGGGGGTCCTTTGGGGTAATGGTGGGGGGTTGGATGTTTGGGGGGTCCTAAAGAGATGTTTGGGGTGCCTAGGAGTAGTTTGGGGGGGGGTCCTTTGGGGTAATGGTGGGGGGTTGGATGTTTGGGGGGTCCTAAAGAGATGTTTGGGGTGCCCAGGGATAGTTTGGGGGGGTCCTTTGGGGTAATGGTGGGTGGTTGGATGTTGGGGGGGGCCCTAAAGAGATGTTTGGGGTGCCTAGGAGTAGTTTGGGGGGGTCCTTTGGGGTAATGGTGGGGGGTTGGATGTTGGGGGGGTCCTAAAGAGATGTTTGGGGTGCCCAGGGATAGTTTGGGGGGGTCCTTTGGGGTAATGGTGGGGGGTTGGATGTTGGGGGGGGCCCTAAAGAGGTGTTTGGGGGGGTCCTAAAGAGATGTTGGGGGTGCCCAGGGGTAGTCTGGGGGGGTCCTTTGGGACAATTGGGGGGGGGTTGGATGTTTCGGGGGTCCTAAAGAGATGTTTGGGGTGCCCAGGGATAATTTGGGGGGTCCTTTGGGGCAATGGGGGGGGGGTTGGATGTTTGCGGGGTCCTAAAGAGATGTTGGGGGTGCCTGGGGTGGTTTGGGGGGGCCCTTTGGGGCAATGGGGGGGGGCAGAATTGGAGGTCACTAACCCCCCCCCCCCCCCCCATGGCACCCAGGTACCCGGGAGGAGCTGGTGGAGCGGCTGCAGGGCCTACACCATGCAGGTGAGCCCCCCGCCTTCGGGGGGGGGGGGGGGGGGTCCCCAGTATCCCATTGTGCTCTCTCAGGTTGGGGGGTCCCTGTGTTCCCCGGGGGGGGGTCATGGATCTGTTCCCCCCTCACTGGGTGCCCTCTTTGTGTTCCCCCCCCCCCCCCCCCCAGACAGGGATCGTGCTGAGCCGCCCCGTGCTGCGCCCCGAGGAGGGGGACAAAGCTGCACAGGTTGGGGGGGGCATAAGTGGGTGCTGGGGGGGGAAGGCAAGGACTTGGGGTTCAATGGGGGGGGCTATGGGGGGTGGGAATAGGATCCCTCCAGTTTGGGGGTTGGGGGGGGTGCAGGACTCTTCCATTATAACCAAGGAGGGGTCTTGGGGTTCAATGGGGGGAGGGGGCTATGGGGGGGTGGGAATAGGATCCTTTCAGTTTGGGGGATGGGGGGCAAGGGGGGGTGCAGGACTCTTCCATTATAACCAAGGAGGGGTCTTGGGGTTCAATGGGGGGAGGGGGCTATGGGGGGGTGGGAATAGGATCCCTCCAGTTTGGAGGTTGGGGGGGGTGCAGGACTCTTCCATTATAACCAAGGAGGGGTCTTGGGGTTCATTGGGGGGGGGGCTGTGGGGGGTGGGAATAGGATCCTTCCAGTTTGGGGGATGGGGGGGTGCAGGACTCTTCCATTATAACCAAGGAGGGGTCTTGGGGTTCAATGGGGGGGGGGCTATGGGGGGTGGGAATAGGATCCTTCCAGTTTGGGGGTTGGGGGGGTGCAGGACTCTTCCATTATAACCAAGGAGGGGTCTTGGGGTTCAATGGGGGGGGGGGCTATGGGGGGTGGGAATAGGATCCTTCCAGTTTGGGGGTTGGGGGGGTGCAGGACTCTTCCATTATAAAAAGTTTGGGGGGGGGGTGAGGAGCGATTTGGGGGGGTCTATTGGTGCTGCAATGACACTGAGCTCTCTGCCCCCCCCCCCCCCAGCTTCCTGCCCTGCCCCTGCAGCACCCCTTGGTGCCCCCCCCACCCCCGGGGCTGGGGCTGAGCTATGGGCTGGGGGGGGTCGGGGTGCCCCCCCCACCCCCGCCGCCCCCCCCCGGGCTGCGGGGGGCCGAGGGGCTCTCGGAGGAGGAGCGGCTGACGCTGGCGCAGCAGCAAGCGGCCCTGCTGCTGCAGGAGGAGCGCGCCCAGCAGGTGGGGGGCACCCATGGGTGCTGGGTGCGGTGGGGGGGGCCACCCATGGGTGCTGGAGGGCTTGGGGGGGGGGGTCACCCATAGGTGCTGGGAAGTTCTGGGGGTTACCCAGGGGTGCTGGAGGGGTGTGTGGGGGGGCACCCATGGGTGCTGAAGGGCTCAGGGTGGGGGTCACCCATAGGTGCTGGGATGGTCTGGGGGTTACCCAGGGGTGCTGGAGGGGTGCAGGGGGGGCACCCATGGGTGCTGGGTGCTGTGGCGGGGCCACCCATGGGTGCTGGAGGGCTCGGGGGGGCGGTCACCCATAGGTGCTGGGGTGGTCTGGGGGTTTCCTAGGGGTGCTGGAGGGGTGCGGCAGGGGCACCCATGGGTGCTGGAGGGCTTGGGGGAGGGTGGGGGGGGTCACCCATAGGTGCTGGGGTGGTCTGGGGGTTTCCTAGGGGTGCTGGAGGGGTGCAGGGGGGCACCCGTGGGTGCTGGAGGGCTCTGTAGGGAGTCACATATGGCTGCTGAGGAGGTCTGGGGGGCACTCATGGGTGATGGGGCGTCTGGGAGTTACCCCAGGGTGATGGGGGGGTACCCAGGGGTGCTAGGGTGGGCCTGGGGGCACCCATGGGTGATGGGGGGGTGCTGAGGAATGATGGGCGAAATACAGGAGGGTGTCAGTGGGCAGTGGGGGACACCCATGGGTGATGGGGGGATCCCCAGAGGTGGGCTGGGGGGGGTCCTAAATACTTAAGGGATTCCCATGGGGCTGTTTGGGGGGGGGGGCTGGATGATGTGTGGGTGTTGGGGTTTGATGCAAGTTCATGCAGCACCCATGGGTGCAGGGGGGTGCTGTGAGTGTGCCACCTATGGGTGCTGGGAGGGGTGTTTGGGGGCATTTAATGTCCTGTTGGGGGGTGCGACACCCCTGGGGGTGCTGCAGGTCTATGGGGCACCTATGGGTGCTGGGGTTGAAGCTGTAATTGCACCCATGGGTGCTCTGACTCTCGGTTTCCCCCCTCCCCCCCACCTCTCCCACCAGAGCCAGCACCCATTCGGAGACAAAGCCAAGGAGCAGGAGCTGCTGGAGCAGCAGAAGCGGGTGAGGATGGGGGCACCCATGGGCGCTTGGGGGTTCCATGGGTGTCCCTCACCTTTGGGTGTCCCCACAGGCCGCGGTGCTGCTGGAGCAGGAGAGGCAGCAGGAGATGGCCAAGATGGCCCCCGCCGTGCCCCGCCCCCCCCCCGACGTGACACCCATGGGTGCTCGGGCCTCGCTGCCCCCCCGAGGTGGGTGTCAGCTGCCCTGGGGTGTGGGGGGACACACACACAATGGGTGCTCTCTGTGTGTCCTTCCATCCTACAGCACTCCCCTATCACCCCACAGGCAGCACCCCTATGGGTGCCCCCATCCCTGGGGTGCCCATGGGGGCCTCCCGGCCACGCGGGCCCCCCCCACCCCCCGGTGAGGAGACGCGAGAGGTGGGTGCTGGGGTGCTTTGGGAGGTGGGGTGGGGGGGTCCCAAATTTTCTGGGGGGCTCTTGGGGCCTCTTGGGTGCTTGGGGTGGGTTTGGAGTCTTAAGAGGTGCGGGTTCAATGGGGGGGTCCCCCATGTGTTGGGGGTCTCTGGATGGGTGGGGGTGCTCCTGGGTGCCCCTGACCCCCCCCCACAATGTGTGTTCCCCCCCTGCCCCCCAAGTCCGATGACCCAGCTGTGGGCCCCAAGATCCCCCAGGCCCTGGAGAAGATCCTGCAGCTGAAGGAGATCCGGCAGGAGGAGCTCATCACGGTGCCAGGGCTCTCAGGTGGGCACCCATGGGTGCTTTGGGGCGGGGGGGGGGGGGGGGGGGCAGCACCCAGACCCCCCCCTCCTCACCCCCCCCCTTTCGTATCCCCATAGCTGAGGATGAGATGGAGACAGAGCCTCGAGCAGCAGCCTCAGCCTCGGAGACAGAGGAAGACACAGGGCTCTCCAAGAAGGAGGTGGGATGGGTGCCCCCCACCCATGGGTGCCATTGTTGTGGGGGGGGGGTGTCCATAGGACCCCATTTTCCCCCCAGAACCCCCCTTTGGGTACCCAGGGTTTGGATCCCTGGGGGGGGTTTGAGCCATCCTCATCCCCCCCCCCCATGTCCCCATCGTGTCCCCCCCCCCAGCGCAACCGCAAGCGCCGCAACCGCAAGAAGAAGAAGCGGGGCCGAGCCCGGGATGCCGGGGGGGGCCCTGCCCCCCCCTCCTCAGCATCCACCCCCCGGACCCCCCCGGCACCGCGGTGGAGATCGAGTACGTGACCGAGGAGCCCGAGATCTACGACCCCAACTTCGTGTTCTTCAAGATGGATCTTTGAGGCTTTCAAGGTGGGCTGAGGGCACCCAATGGGTGCTATTGGGGGGGGAGGGTGAGCACAGCACCCTAGGGTGCTCCTGAGCACCCCTTCTCCTGCTCAAACCCCCCCCCCTTGCAGCTGACAGATGATGTGAAGAAGGACAAGGAGAAGGAGCCGGACAAAGCGGAGCGGCCCGAGAGCAGCGCCGTGCCCAAGAAGAAAGGGGGGGAAGATGGGCGCAAGGGCAGCGAGGATGACAGCTCTGAGGATGAGCAGGTTGGGGGGGGGAAATGGGGGGACATGGGGACAGAAGGGGATGTGGGGACAAAGGGGGATGTGGGGACAAAGGGGGATGTGGGGCAAAGAGGGATGCGGGGGACATGGGGGGGACAAAGGGGGACAGGAGACAGAGGGGGACGTGGTGGACATTGGGGACAAAAGGGAGATGTAGGGATACAGGGGAACATGGGGGACAGAGGGGGACATGGGGACAAAGGGGGATATGGGTGATGTGGGGCAAAGAGGGATGTGGGGGGCATGGGGACAGAGGGAGGCATGAGGTCATGGGGAAAGGGGGACATGGGGGGACAAAGGGGGACAGGAGACAGAGGGGGACGTGGTGGACATTGAGGACAGAGAGAGATGTAGGGATACAGGGGAACATGGGGGACAGAGGGGGACATGGGGACAAAGGGGGATATGGGTGATGTGGGGCAAAGAGGGATGTGGGGGCATGGGGACAGAGGGGGTCATGGGGAAAGGGGGACATGGGGGGACAAAGGGGGACAGGAGACAGAGGGGGATGTGGTGGACATTGGGACAAAAGGGAGATGTAGGGATACAGGGGAACATGGGGGACAGAGGGGGACATGGGGACAAAGGGGGATATGGGTGATGTGGGGCAAAGAGGGATGTGGGGGGCATGGGGACAGAGGGAGGCATGAGGTCATGGGGAAAGGGGGACATGGGGGGGACAAAGGGGGACAGGAGACAGAGGGGGACGTGGTGGATATTGGACAAAAGGGAGATGTAGGGATACAGGGGAACATGGGGGACAGAGGGGGACATGGGGACAAAGGGGGATATGGGTGATGTGGGGCAAAGAGGGATGTGGGGGGCATGGGGACAGAGGGAGGCATGAGGTCATGGGGAAAGGGGGACATGGGGGGACAAAGGGGGACAGGAGACAGAGGGGGACGTGGTGGACGTTGAGGACAGAGAGAGATGTAGGGATACAGGGAACATGGGGGAGAGAGGGGGACGTGGGGGACAGGGGTAGTGTGGGGACAGAGGGTGACATGGGTGATGTGGGGGCAAAGGGGGGACATGGGGACAGGGAAAGATGTAGGGACATTGGTGACAAGGGGGGCAAAGGGGGGATATGGTGGGCATTAGGGACAGAGGGGGGTGTAGGGACAGAAGGGGGACATGGGGTGACAAAGGGGACAGGAGACAGGAGGACATAGGGGGTGGAGTGGGACTAGGGGGGCATGGTGGACATTGGGGGCAAAGGAAGATGTAGGAACAAAGGGGGCAGGAGACACGGGGACAAAGTGGGACATGGGGGTCAGAGGGGGATGTGGAGCAAAGAGGGATGTGGGGGGCAGGAGGACACGGTGGATGTTGGGGACAGAGGGAGACGTTGGGACATGGGGGGCAAACGGGGAGATGGGGGACAGAGGAAGATGTGGGAGATGTTGGGGTTGGGGGGGACATGGGGACAAAGGGGGATGTGGTGACAGAGTGGGACATGGGGGGCAGCGGGTGCCTGTGTGGGGCTGTAGGTGACAGGAGGGGCTCTGGGGTGGGGACATGGGTGACACGGGAGGCCCTGAGGTGGGACACGGGTGACATGGGGGGCTGTGGGGTGGGACATGGGTGACCCAGGGGGCTGTGGGGTGGGACATGGGTGACCCAGGGGGCTGTGGGGTGGGACATGGGTGACCCAGGGGGCTGTGGGTTGGGACATAGGTGACCCAGGGGGCTGTGGGTTGGGACATAGGTGACCCAGGGGGCTGTGGGGTGGGACATGGGTGACCCAGGGGGCTGTGGGTTGGGACATGGGTGACCCGGGGGGGGCTGTGGGGTGGGACATAGGTGACCCAGGGGGCTGTGGGTTGGGACATAGGTGACCCAGGGGGCTGTGGGGCGGTACACGGGTGACCTGGGGGGCTGTGGGGTGGGGACGGGGATGTCGGGGGCTGACGGCCCCATCGGTGCCACCCTTGGGTGTCCCCAGGAGAAGAAGCCCGAGGTCCCCAAGCTCTCCAAGAAGAAGCTGCGGCGCATGAACCGCTTCACCGTGGCCGAGCTGAAGCAGGTGAGGAGTGTGGGGCCAGGGCCCCATGGCCCCAGGTGCCCCCCACCTTGCACCCTGCAGCCTCACCCATCCCCTGTGTCACCCCATGGGCCTTGCTGTCACCCTGAGCCCCCCCACCCCGGGACACCAGGGCCACCCTGGGGTGCCCCTTTACCCCCTCTTAGGGACCTTGGGGTGCCCCTTTACCCCCTCTTAGGGACCCTGGGGTGCCCTTGTGCCCCATTAGCCCCTCCTCAGCACAGCAATCCCAGCTCTGCTGCCCTGTCCCATAGGGTGCCCTGCTGCCCCCATGTCCTGTATCCCATATCACTGCGTCCCCATACCTGTTGTGTCCCATATGGACATGTCCTGTGTTTCCATGCTCTATTCCCATATTGTTGTGTTGCTATGTCCCATATTCCTGTATCCTCATATCCCATATTTCCTTGTCATTATGTCCTGTGTTTCATGTCTGGGTGTCCCCACATTTCTCTGTCCCATATTCTCCATTCTCATGTGTTATGTCCCATATCCCCACATCTCCATGTCCCATATCCCCATGTCCCCGTATTCTCATGTCCCATAACCCTATGTTCTATATCCCTACATCCCTGTATCCCACATTTTCCATCCCCATGTCCTGTGTCCCGTGTCCAACATCCCCATGTGTCCCCATCCCCGCAACCCCATGTCCCATATTCTCATGTACCACATCCTCGTGTCCCGTATCCCACATCCCCAATCCCCCATCCCCATATCCCTGTCCCATATCCCACATCCCCATGTCCCATATCCTCCCATCCCCATATCCCTGTGTCCCATATCCCACATCTTCCATCTCCATGTCTCCACATCCCCATGTCCCATATCCCACATTCTCCCTCCCCATATCCCCATGTTACACGTTCCATGTCCTCACATCCTCATGTCCCACATCTCATATCCCCCATCCCCATGTCCCCCATTCCCATATCCCTGTGTCCCATATTCCACATCTTCCATCCCCATGTCTCCACATCCTCATGTCCCCACATCCCAATGTTCCATATCCTACGTTCTCCCTCCCCATATCCCCATGTTACATGTTCCATGTCCTCACATCCCCATGTCCCACATCTCATATCCCTCATTCTATATCCCATATCCCCCATCCCCATGTCCCCCATCCCCATATCCCACCTCCCTCATCCCCATAACCCCATCTGCCCATCCCACATCTCCCCATCCCCATGTACCACATCTCATATCCAACATCACTCTCCCCATATCCCCCCCTCACATCCCTGTCCCATATCCTACATCCCCCACATCCCCCATTCTCATGTCCCTACATCTCCATGTATCATATCCCCATGACCCATATCCCATACCCCTATGACCCATATCCCACATCCCCATGTCTCATATCCCCCATCCCCACATCTCTCATCCCCATGTTCTGTGTCCCGTGTCCCATATCCCACATCCGCCATCCCCATATCCCCCATTCCTATGTCTCATATCCCACATCCCCCATCCCCATCTCCCCACATCCTATAATTGATATCCCACATCCCCCATCCCCATGTCGCTACATCTCCATGTCCCATGTCCCACATCCCCATGTCCCACATCCCCATGTCCCATATCCCCATGTCCTACATCCCCATGTCCCACATCCCACATCCTTCATCCCCGTATCCCCACATCACTATGTCCCATATCCCCACGTCCCATATCCCCCATCCCCATCTCCCCACATCCCATAACTGATATCCCCCATCCCCATCTCCCCCCATCCCCATCTCCCCCCATCCCCATGTCCCACATCCCCCATCCCCCCCCAATCTCCCCCATCCCCATGTCCCACATCCCCTATCCCCATCTCCCCCCATGTCCCATATCCCCATGTCCCATATCCCCATGTCCCACATCCCCTATCCCCATCTCCCCCCATCCCCATATCCCCATGTCCCCCATCCCCATGTCTCATATCCCCATGTTCCATATCCCCCATCCCCATCTCCCCACATCCCCCATCCCCCCCCATCTCCCCCATCCCCATGTCCCACATCCCCTATCCCCATCTCCCCCCATCCCCATATCCCCATGTCCCCCATCCCCATCTCCCCCCATCCCCATGTCCCATATCCCCATGTTCCATATCCCCCATCCCCATCTCCCCACATCCCCCATCTCCCCACATCCCCCATCCCCCCCCATCTACCCCCATCCCCATGTCCCACATCCCCTATCCCCATCTCCCCCCATCCCCATATCCCCATGTTCCACATCCCCCATCCCAATCTCCCCACATCCCCCATCCCCCCCCATCTACCCCCATCCCCATGTCCCATATCCCCATGTTCCACAACCCCTATCCCCATCTCCCCCATCCCCATATCCCCATGTTCCACATTCCCCACCCCCATCTCCCCCCATGCCCACCCCCATCTACCCCCATCTCCATGTCCCACATCCCCCATCCCCATATCCCCATGTCCCACATCCCTCATCCTCATCTCCCCCCATCTCCATGTCCCACATCCCCCATCCCCATATCCCCATCTCCCCCATCCCCACCCTCATCTACCCCCATTCCCATCTCTCTACATCCCCATATCCCCCATCCCCATATCCCCCATCCCCATATCCCCCATCCCCATATCCCCCATCCCCCCCCTATGTCCCCACATCCCCCATCCCCCCCCCAATCCCCCAACTCACATCCCCCATTCCCCCCCTCTTGCAGCTCGTGGCCCGCCCGGACGTGGTGGAGATGCACGACGTGACGGCGCAGGACCCCAAGCTCCTGGTGCACCTCAAGGCCACGCGGAACTCGGTGCCGGTGCCTCGGCACTGGTGCTTCAAGCGCAAGTACCTGCAGGGCAAGCGCGGCATCGAGAAGCCCCCTTCGAGCTGCCCGACTTCATCAAGCGCACCGGCATCCAGGAGATGCGCGAGGCCCTGCAGGAGAAGGTGCCCGGGGTGGGGGGGAGGCTGTGGGTGCCCATGGGGGGTGATGGGGCTCTTATGGGGGCCTTTAGGGGTGTTATGGGGGTGTTATGGGTGCCCATAGGGGGCGCTGGGGGTGTTATGGGTGCCCATGGGGACCTTTAGGGGTGTTAATGGGTGACCATAGGGGGTGCTGGGGGTGTTATGGAGGGTGATGTGGGTGCCCATAGGGGGTGCTGGGGGTGTTATGGAGGGTGATGTGGGTGCCCATAGGGGGCGCTGGGGGTGTTATGGGGGTGATATGGGTGCCCATAGGGGGCGCTGGGGGTGATATGGGGGTGTTATGGGTGCCATGGGGGCCTTTAGGGGTGTTATGGGGGTGTTATGGGTGCCCATAGGGGGCGGTGGGGGTGTTATGGGGGTGTTCTGGGTGCCCATAGGGGGCGCTGGGGGTGTTATGGGTGCCCATAGGGGGCGCTGGGGGTGTTATGGGTGCCCATGGGGACCTTTAGGGGTGTTAATGGGTGACCATAGGGGGTGCTGGGGGTGTTATGGAGGGTGATGTGGGTGCCCATAGGGGGTGCTGGGGGTGTTATGGGGGTGATATGGGTGCCCATAGGGGGCGCTGGGGGTGATATGGGGGTGTTATGGGTGCCATGGGGGCCTTTAGGGGTGTTATGGGGGTGTTATGGGTGCCCATAGGGGGCGGTGGGGGTGTTATGGGGGTGTTCTGGGTGCCCATAGGGGGCGCTGGGGGTGTTATGGGTGCACATAGGGGGCGCTGGGGGTGTTATGGGTGCCCATGGGGACCTTTAGGGGTGTTAATGGGTGACCATAGGGGGTGCTGGGGGTGTTATGGAGGGTGATGTGGGTGCCCATAGGGGGTGCTGGGGGTGTTATGGGGGTGTTATGGGTGCCCATGGGGGCCTTTAGGGGTGTTATGGGGGTGTTATGGGTGCCCATAGGGGGCGATGGGGGTGTTATGGGTGCCCGTAGGGGACTTTAGGGGTGTTACGGGTGCCCATGGGGGGCTTTAGGGGTGATACGGGTGCCCATAGGAGGCACTGGGGGTGATATGAGTGCCCATAGGGGGCGCTGGGGGTGTTATGGGTGACCATAGGGGGGCTTTAGGGGTGTTATGGGTGCCCGTAGGGGGCTTTGGGGCTGTTACGGGTGCCCATAGGGAGCTTTGGCGGTGATATGGGTGCCCATAGGGGATTGTGGGGGGTGTTATGGGTGCCCATAGGGGACTGTGGGGGTGTTATGGATGCCCATGGGGGGCTTTAGGGGTGTTATGGGGTTTTTATGGGTGCCCATGGGGGGCTTTGGGGGTTTTATGGGTGCTTATGAGGGGCTTACGGGGTGCTATGGGGGTGTTACGGGTGCTCATAGGGTGCTATGGGGGTGTTATGGGTGCCCATGAGGACCTTTGGGGACCTCCTGGGTGTCCCCATGGGCTTTGGTTCCATCATAGTTGGACACAGACAGCTTTGGGGCCGATGAGCGAGCGGGGCCTTGGGAGCTGCCACAGCTCCCCATCACTTCGGGTGTCCCTGTGGGTGCTGGGACCGGTGCCACCCCGCTGTGCGTGCCCCCCACCCACCCATTTGTGTCCCCCCCCACCCAAAAGGAGGAGCAGAAGACGATGAAGTCCAAGATGAGGGAGAAGGTGAGGCCGAAGATGGGCAAGATCGACATCGATTACCAGAAGCTGCACGACGCCTTCTTCAAGTGGCAAACCAAGCCCAAGCTCACCATCCACGGGGACCTCTACTACGAGGTGGGTGCCCCCACCCATGGGTGCTGCCCCTGACCCCTCAATGGGTGCTATTAGAGGTGATTCCCCCCACCACCAACCCTTTCTGTCCTCATCCCAGGGGAAGGAGTTTGAGACACGGCTCAAGGAGAAGAAGCCTGGAGACCTCTCGGATGAGCTGCGCATCGCCCTGGGCATGCCCGTGGGGCCGGTGAGTGGCACCCATGGGTGCTGGGGTCACCCTGATGTGGCCAGGAGCTCCCATGGGTGCTGGATGTGTTAACCTGAGGTGACTAGGGAGCACCCATGGATGCTGGGGTCACCCTGATGTGGCCATGGAGCACCCATAGGTGCTGGGTGGGTTACACTCAGGTGCCTAGGGAACACCCATGGGTGCTAGGGTCACCCTGATGTGGCCAGGGAGCACCCATAGGTGCTGGGTGGGTTACCCTGAGGTGCCTAGGGAGCACCTATGGGTGCTAGGGTCACCCTGATGTGACCAGGGAGCACCCATGGGTGCTGGATGGGTTACCCTGAGGTGCCTAGGGAACACCCATGGGCGCTGGGGTCACCCTGATGTGGCCAGGGAGCACCCATGGGTGCTGGGGTCACCCTGGCATGGCCAAGGAGCACCCATGAGGGCTGACAGGGAGCTAGGGGTGTTTTTGTCACCCTGAAATGCTGGGTGCTTGGTGGGGGGGGTACTCAGGTGTCAATGGGTGCTGGGGGCACCTTTGGGTGCTGACCCCCCCCTCCTTTGTGGTGCCGGCAGAACGCACACAAGGTGCCCCCCCCGTGGCTGATCGCGATGCAGCGCTATGGGCCCCCCCCCTCCTACCCCAACCTCAAGATCCCGGGGCTCAACTCACCCATCCCCGAGGTGAGGGGGGGTTATGGGTGCTGGGGGGGGGCTTCTTTGGGTGCTGGGGGGGCTTTGGGTACTGAGGGGGGGCTTTGGGTACTGGGGGGGCTTTGGGTGCTGGGGAGAGCTTTGGGTGCTGGGGAGAGCTTTGGGTACTGGGGGGGGCTTTGGGTGCTGGGGAGAGCTTTGGGTACTGGGGGGGGGGCTTTGGGTGCTGGGTGGGAGCTTTGGGTGCTGGGGAGAGCTTTGGGTACTGGGGGGGGCTTTGGGTGCTGGGTGGGAGCTTTGGGTGCTGGGGAGAGCTTTGGGTACTGAGGGGGGGCTTTGGGTACTGGGGGGGCTTTGGGTGCTGGGGAGAGCTTTGGGTACTGGGGGGGGGCTTTGGGTGCTGGGTGGGAGCTTTGGGTGCTGGGGGGAGGGGGGAGCTTTAAGGGTCTTGGGGCGGGGCAGGGGGAGATTTGGGTGCTGGGAGGGACTTTTGGAGTCCTATACATGCATGGGTGCTGCAGGGCTGCTCCATTGGGTGTTGGGGTGGGGGAGCAGGATTTAGGGGTGGGTTTGATGCTGGGGGGGGGGCATGAGCATCACAAAGGGGGGATTCTTATGGTCCAGGGCTGTTCTTTGGGTGCCTGGGGGGGGTTAGGGTGCTGGGAGGTTGGGTGCTGGGTGGTATCAGAGGTGGGGGGGGGTCTCTAAGGCTCTGTGTGTGTCGTGTCCCCCCCCCCCCCCCCCCAAAGGGCTGCTCCTTCGGGTACCACGCTGGGGGCTGGGGGAAGCCTCCTGTGGACGAGACGGGGAAGCCGCTGTACGGGGACGTGTTCGGCACCAACGCGGCCGAGTTCCAGGTACGGGACCCCCCCCGGCATCCAAACACCCCCCTTGAGTCCAAACAGCACCCCCAAACACATCCCATAAGCACCCAAACACACACACACCCCCCCAGCATCCAAACACATCCCATAAGCACCCAAACACACACACCCCCCCCCAGCACCCAAACACATCCCATAAGCACCCAAACACAACCCCCCCTTGCATCCAAACACATCCCATAAGCACCCAAACACACACACACCCCCCCCAGCACCCAAACACATCCCATAAGCACCCAAACACACACACACCCCCCCAGCATCCAAACACATCCCATAAGCACCCAAACACACACACACCCCTTGCATCCAAACAGCACCCCGAAACACACCTCGTAAGCACCCAAACACACACACACACCCCCCTCAGCATCCAAACACACACCCCCCCCCAGCATCCAAATGCATCCCATAAGCACCCAAACACACACACCCCCCCTTGCATCCAAACAGCACCCCCAAACACACCTCGTAAGCACCCAAACACACACACACACACACCCCCCGCCCCAGCATCCAAACGCATCCCATAAGCACCCAAACACACACACACACCCCCCAGCACCCAAACACATCCCATAAGCACCCAAACACAACCCCCCTCCCAGCATCCAAACACATCCCATAAGCACCCAAACACACACCCCCCACCCCCCAGCATCCAAACACACCCCATAAGCACCCAAACACACACACACCCCCCCCAGCATCCGAACACATCCCATAAGCACCCAAACACACACACACACCCCCCAGCACCTAAACAAATCCCATAAGCACCCAAACCCCACCCCCAGCACCTAAACCCCACCCCCAGCACCCAGACACATCCCCTGGTACCCAAATACCCCTCAGCACCCAAACACTCCCCATAAGCACCCAAACACGCCTCCAACACCCAAACCCACCCCCAGCACCCAAACAGACCTCCAGCACCCGAACCCCCCTTCAGCGCCCAAACCCCACCCCCAGCACCCAAACAGACCTCCAGCACCCAAACCCCCCTCCAGCGCCCAAACCCCACCCCCAGCACCTAAACCCACCCCCAGCACCCAGACACATCCCCTGGTACCCAAATACCCCTCAGCACCCAAACACTCCCCATAAGCACCCAAACACATCCCCATAAGCACCCAAACCCCCACCCCCAGCACCCAAACCCCACCCCCAGCACCCAAACAGACCTCCAGCACCCAAACACCACCCCCAGCACCCAAACAGACCTCCAGCACCCGAACCCCCTCCAGCGCCCAAACCCCACCCCCAGCACCCAAACAGACCTCCAGCACCCAAACCCCCCTCCAGCGCCCAAACCCCACCCCCAGCACCCAAACCCACCCCCAGCACCCAGACACATCCCCTGGCACCCAAATACCCCTCAGCACCCAAACACGCCTCCAACACCAAACACATCCCCAGCACCCAAACCCACCCCCAGCACCCAAACACCACCCCCAGCACCCAAACAGACCTCCAGCACCCGAGCCCTCCTCCAGCGCCCAAACACCGCCCCCAGCACCCAAATATATCCCCAGCACCCAAACATGCCCCCAGCACCCAAACCCACCCCCAGCACCCAGAAACATCCCCTGGCACCCAAATACCTCTCAGCACCCAAACACTCCCCAAAAGCACCCAAACCCCACCCCCAGCACCCAAACACATCCCCTGGTACCCAAATACCCCTCAGCACCCAAACACTCCCATAAGCACCCAAACACCCCCCAGCACCCAAACACATCCCCAGCACCCAAACCCCACCCCCAGCACCCAAACCCCACCCCCAGCACCCTAACCCCCCCCCCGTTTCCTCCCCCCCCCAGACAAAGGAGGAGGAGGAGGAGATCGACCGCACTCCATGGGGGAGCTGGAGCCCTCGGATGAGGAATCCTCGGAGGAAGAGGAGGAGGAGGAGAGCGACGAAGAGAAACCGGATGAGACGGGGTTTATCACCCCTGCCGACAGGTGGGGGCACCCCTTAACCCCCCCCCAGCACCCTGACCCCCACCCTGACCCCCACCCTGACCCCCTTGTGTTGTTTCACCCCTACCCCAACAGCGGTCTCATCACCCTGGGGGCTTCTCCTCGGTGCCGGCCGGGATGGAGACCCCAGAGCTCATTGAGCTGCGGAAGAAGAAGATCGAGGAAGCCATGGATGGGTGAGGAGGGGGGGGTCAGGGTGCTGGGAGGGGGCTTTGGGTGCTGGGGGGGTGCACAGCAGGGTGGGGGGGCTGGGGGAGTTTGGGTGCTGGGGGAGTTTGGGTGCTGGGGAGTTTTGGGTGCTGGGGGGGTATTGGGGTATAGGGAGGATGCTGGGGGGGTTTGGGTGCTGAGGGGGCTTTGGGTGCTGGAGGGGTGCACAGCAGGGTGGGGGGCTGGGGGAGTCCCTGCTGGGGAGTTTTGGGTGCTGAGGGGGCTTTGGGTGCTGAGGGGGTATTGGGGTGTAGGGAGGATGCTGAGGGGGTTTGGGTGCTGGGAGGGGGCTTTGGGTGCTGGGGGGGTGCACAGCAGGGTGGGGGGCTGGGGGAGTTTGGGGTGCTGGGGAGTTTTGGGTGCTGAGGGGGTTTTGGGTGCTGGGGGAGTATTGGGGTGTAGGGAGGATGCTGGGGGGGTTTGGGTGCTGGGAGGCGGCTTTGGGTGCTGGGGGGGGTGCACAGCAGGGTGGGGGGCTGGGGGAGTCTGGGTGCTGGGGAGTTTGGGTGCTGAGGGGGTTTTGGGTGCTGGGGGAGTATTGGGTGCTTAGAGGGCTTTGGGTGCTGGGGGAGTATTGGGGTGTAGGGAGGATGCTGGGGGGGTTTGGGTGCTGAGGGGGCTTTGGGTGCTGGGACGGTCTTGGGGTGCTGGGGGAGCAGGGGAAGTATTGGGGTGTTGGGAGGATGCTGTGGGGTTTGGGGTGCTGGGGGGGTGCTGAGGGGGCTTTGGGTGCTGGGACAGTCTTGGGGTGCTGGGGGAGCAAAAAGGGTGCTGGGTGAGCAGAATGGGTGCTGAGGGGGTCTTGGGGTGCTGGGGAAGTATTGGGGTGTTGGGGGGATGCTGTGGGGTTTGGGGTGCTGGGGTGGTGCTGGGGGAGCAGAATGGGTACTGGGGAAGTGTTGGGGGGATGCTGTGGGGTTTTGGGGTGCTGGGGTGGTGCTGAGAGGGCTTTGGGTGCTGGGACAGTCTTAGGGTGCTGGGGGAGCAGAATGGGTCCTGGGGAAGTATTGGGGTGTTGGGAGGATGCTGGTGGGTTTTGAGTGCTGAAGGGTTCTGGGGGGGGTGCTGAGGGGGTCTTGGGGTGCTGGGGAAGTATTGGGGTGCTGGGGGGATGCTGGGAGGTCTTGGGGAGCAGGGGTGGTGGTTGGGTGCTGGGTGCCAGGGGCAATCATTTGGGGTGCAGGGAGGGACAACACTGGCTGCTGAGTGATGGGAAGCAGGGGGGGGGGGAGGATGCTTTGTGTTACCCCTGGTGCATTGGGTGCCCCCCACCCATCCCCTCCCTTTTGTGTGTGTGTGTCCCCCAAACAGCAGCGAGACCCCCCAGCTCTTCACAGTGGTCCCCGAGAAGCGCACGGCCACCGTGGGCACGGCCATGATGGGCTCGACCCACATCTATGACATGTCTGCAGTGAGTGCCAGCAGCACCCAATGGGGAGGGGAGGGGACACCCCAAAACCACCACCCCCCCCCTAAACCCCCCCTTCCCCTGCAGGTGTTGGGGCGCAAGGGCCCCGTGGCCGAGGCGCAGGGGGTGGAGGTGGCGCTGGCCCCCGAGGAGCTGGAGCTCGACCCCACCGCCATGACCCAGAAGTACGAGGAGCACGTGCGGGAGCAGCAGGCGCAGGTGGAGAAGGAGGATTTCAGCGACATGGTGGCTGAGCACGCGGCCAAGCAGAAGGTGGGGAACACACACACCCCCCCCCCCGTCACCCCCTTTGTGACCCCTTTGTCACCCCCTGTCACCCCCTGTCACCCCCTCATCACCCCCTTTGTGACCCCTTTGTCACCCCCTGTCGACCCCTTTGTCACCCCCTGTCACCCCCTTTGTGACCCCTTTGTCACCCCCTGTCACCCCCTGTCACCCCCTCATCGACCCCTTTGTCACCCCCTGTCGACCCCTTTGTCACCCCCTGTCACCCCTTTGTGACCCCTTTGTCACCCCTTTGTCACCCCCCGTCACCCCCTTTGTGACCCCTTTGTCACCCCCTTTGTCACCCCCCCTTTGTCACCCCCCCTTTGTCACCCCCTTTGTCACCCCCCTTTGTCACCTTTTTGTCACCCCCCCTTTGTCACCCCCTTTGTCACCCCCTTTGTCACCCCTTTGTCACCCCCTTTGTCACCCCCTTTGTCACCCCCTTTGTCACCCCCATCATCACCCCCTTTGTCACCCCCCATCATCACCCCCTTTGTCACCTCCCTTTGTCACCCCTTTGTCACCCCCCTGTCACCTTTTTGTCACCCCCTCCGTCACCCCCTTTGTCAACCCCCATCATCACCCCCTCCGTCACCCCCTCCATCACCCCTTTGTCACCCCCCTTTGTCACCCCATCATCACCCCCTTTGTCAACCCCCATCGTCACCCCCCTTGTCAACCCCCATCGTCACCCCCATCGTCACCCCCCTTGTCAACCCCCATCGTCACCCCCCTTGTCAACCCCCATCGTCACCCCCTTTGTCACCCCCCTTGTCACCCCTTTTCACCTCCCCATCACCCCCTTTGCCACCCCCCCATCATCACCCCTTTGCCACCCCCTGTGTCACTCCCCATCACCCCTTTTCTCCCCCCTTTGTGCCCCCCCCCACTGACCCCGCTCTCTCCCCCATCCCCTGCAGCAGAAGAAGCGGAAGGCGCAGCCCCAGGACACCCGAGGTGGGGGCAAGAAGTACAAAGAGTTCAAGTTCTAAGAGGGGGTGACCCCCCCACGGCTCTCACCCCGCACCCCACCTCTGCCTGCTGTCCCCCATAGGGGACAATGGGCTGGCCCCATCCCTTGTCCCGCTCCCTTGATCCTTGTCCCTATGGGTTTGTAAATAAAAGGGGTGTCCGTTGTCGTCCCCCCCCAACACCCTCTGCTTGGGGACACCAGGACTCCTCGTCACCAAGCTCCATCCCGGTGTCCCAGTGTCCCCCAGCTGCATCCCAATGTCCCCCTGATCCCATATCCAGCAGCACAGCTCCATCAGTATCCTCGTGTCCCCAAAGCTCCATCCCAATGTCCCCCTGATCCCATATCCAGCAGCACAGCTCCCTTGGTATCCCTGTATCCCAAACTCCATCCCAATGTCCCCCCGATCCCATATCCAGCAGCACAGCTCCCTCGGTATCCCCGTGTCCCCAAGCTCCATCCCAATGTCCCCCCGATCCCATATCCAGCAGCACAGCTCCCTTGGTATCTCCGTGTCCCCCAAAGCTCCATCCCAATGTCCCCCTGATCCCATATCCAGCAGCACAGCTCCCTTGGTATCTCCGTGTCCCCCAAAGCTCCATCCCAATGTCCCCCTGATCCCATATCCAGCAGCACAGCTCCCTTGGTATCCCTATGTCCCCAAACTCCATCCCAATGTCCCCCGATCCCATATCCAGCAGCACAGCTCCCTTGGTATCCCGTGTCCCCAAGCTCCATCCCAATGTCCCCCTGATCCCATATCCAGCAGCACAGCTCCCTTGGTATCCTATGTCCCCAAACTCCATCCCAATGTCCCCCTGATCCCATATCCAGCAGCACCCTTGGTATCCCCATGTCCCCCAGCTCCATCCCAATGTCCCCGCGGTCCCATATCCAGCAGCACAGCTCCCTTGGTATCCCCGTGTCCCCAAACTCCATCCCAATGTCCCCCCGATCCCATATCCAGCAGCACAGCTCCCTTGGTATCCCCGTGTCCCCAAACTCCATCCCAATGTCCCCCTGATCCCATATCCAGCAGCACAGCTCCCTTGGTATCCCCGTGTCCCCCAGCTCCATCCCAATGTCCCCCGATCCCATATCCAGCAGCACAGCTCCCTCGGTATCCCTATGTCCCCAAACTCCATCCCAATGTCCCCTGATCCCATATCCAGCAGCACAGCTCCCTTGGTATCCTCGTGTCCCCAAACTCCATCCCAATGTCCCCCTGATCCCATATCCAGCAGCACAGCTCCCTTGGTATCCCCGTGTCCCCAAACTCCATCCCAATGTCCCCCCGATCCCATATCCAGCAGCACCCTTGGTATCCCCGTGTCCCCCAGCTCCATCCCAATGTCCCCCGATCCCATATCCAGCAGCACAGCTCCCTCGGTATCCCCGTGTCCCCAAGCTCCATCCCAATGTCCCCCGATCCCATATCCAGCAGCACAGCTCCCTTGGTATCCCCGTGTCCCCAAACTCCATCCCAATGTCCCCCTGATCCCATATCCAGCAGCACAGCTCCCTTGGTATCCCCGTGTCCCCAAACTCCATCCCAATGTCCCCCCGATCCCATATCCAGCAGCACCCTTGGTATCCCCGTGTCCCCCAGCTCCATCCCAATGTCCCCCCGATCCCATATCCAGCAGCACAGCTCCCTCGGTATCCCCGTGTCCCCAAGCTCCATCCCAATGTCCCCCCGATCCCATATCCAGCAGCACAGCTCCCTTGGTATCCCCGTGTCCCCAAACTCCATCCCAATGTCCCCCCGATCCCATATCCAGCAGCACAGCTCCCTTGGTATCCCCGTGTCCCCAAACTCCATCCCAATGTCCCCCCGATCCCATATCCAGCAGCACAGCTCCCTTGGTATCCCCGTGTCCCCAAACTCCATCCCAATGTCCCCCTGATCCCATATCCAGCAGCACAGCTCCCTTGGTATCCCCGTGTCCCCAAACTCCATTCCAATGTCCCCCTGATCCCATATCCAGCAGCACAGCTCCCTTGGTATCCCTATGTCCCCAAACTCCATCCCAATGTCCCCTGATCCCATATCCAGCAGCACAGCTCCCTCGGTATCCCCGTGTCCCCAAGCTCCATCCCAATGTCCCCCTGATCCCATATCCAGCAGCACAGCTCCCTCGGTATCCCCGTGTCCCCAAACTCCATCCCAATGTCCCCCTGATCCCATATCCAGCAGCACAGCTCCCTCGGTATCCCTGTATCCCAAACTCCATCCCAATGTCCCCCTGATCCCATATCCAGCAGCACAGCTCCCTTGGTATCCCTATGTCCCCAAACTCCATCCCAATGTCCCCCCGATCCCATATCCAGCAGCACAGCTCCCTCGGTATCCCTGTATCCCAAACTCCATCCCAATGTCCCCTGATCCCATATCCAGCAGCACAGCTCCCTTGGTATCCCCGTGTCCCCCCATCTCCATCCCGGTCTCTCCCCGTTTCCCCGCGCTCTCCCCTCCTTGGGGGCGTGTCCATGCCCTGCCCCCACCCAATCCGCGCCGAGGATCCGGCTGACGGAGGCGTGGCCACCGCGGCAGAGCCACCGGTGGGCGTGGCTTATTATAAACCCCACGGGTGGGCGTGGCCTTGCGGCGGCCGTGCGCAAGGAGGGCGGGGCTACGTTTCTTGCGCCGACCAATGAGAACGCGAGGATCTCCCGTTGGGGGCGTGGCCCAGGCGTGAGGCGGCGGCGGCGGCGGCGGCGGGGGGTGATGGCGGAACGCGGCGGCCCCCGCGGCCCTCCCGGCCCGGCCCCGCCGCCCGCGGCCTCCCCGCTTCCCCCTCCGGGCACCCCGGGGCCTCTTCTTCCTCCTCCTCCTCCTCCTCCTCTTCCTCCTCCTCCGATCCCCGGTTCCGCTCCCGTCGGTCCCGGTCCGCGGCCGGTGCAGATGAACCTGTACGCGACGTGGGAAGTGGACCGGAGCTCGCCCAGCTGCGTGCCCAGGTGAGCCGGGACCCCCCCCCCACCTCCCTTCCCCTTCCACCTCCCTCCCATCCCTTGCGGTGCTACCGGGAACGGGGGGGGGGGGGGGGGGGAAGCACCGGGTACCGACCCCCGCTCTCCATCCCCCAGGCTCTTCAGCCTCACGCTGCAGCGCCTGGTGCTGGTGCGGGAGCTGGGCAAGGACCTGGGCTCCGTGGTCATCGCCGTTAAGCTGCAGGTACGGGGAAGAGGGGGGGGGGGGGGGGTCGAAGCCACCCCTTTTGTCTCTGTTATGTTGGGGACCCCCCCCCCCCCTTAATTCTATAAAGGGCTCCAAGCGGATCCTGCGCTCCAATGAGATCCCATTGCCAGCCGGGACCCCCGAGACCGAGCTGCAGCTCACGTTCTCCCTGCAGGTGGGACCCAAACCCACCCCCAGCACCCATGGGTGCCCCCCACCCATCGCTGACACCCCCCCGTTTGCTGCAGTACCCCCACTTCCTGAAGCGGGACAGCAACCGGCTCCAGGTGATGCTGCAGCGGCGGAAGCGCTACAAGAACCGGACCTTCCTGGGCTACAAGACCCTGGCCGTGGGGCTCATCAACATGGCTGAGGTGGGTGCTATGGGAAGGGGGGGGGTCAGGGTGCTATGGGGGGCACCCCTGGGTGCTGGGAGCCTCAGAACCTAAGCGCTTATGGGGTTATTTAACAGGGTTTGGGGGCCCCATCATCGTAGGGGTAGCACTAAGGGGTGCTTCCCCCAGCCCCTCTGGATGCCCCCACATCCCTTTTGAATGCTCCCCCATCCCCTCTGGGTGCCCCCCATCCCCTTTGGGTGCCCCCTCCATCCCCTTTGGGTGCCCCCTCCATCCCCTTTGGGTGCGCCCCCTATCCCCTCTGGATGCCCCCACATCCCCTTTGGGTGCCCCCTCCATCCCCTTTGGGTGCTCCCCCCATCCCCTCTGGGTTCCCCCCCATCCCCTTTGGGTGCCCCCTCCATCCCCTCTGGGTGCTCCCCCCATCCCCTCTGGATGCACCCACATCCCCTTTGGGTGCCCTCCATCCCCTCTGGGTGCTCCCCCCATCCCCTCTGGGTGCTCCACCCCATCTCCTCTGGGTGCTCCCCCCATCCCCTCTGGATGCCCCCACATCCCCTTTGGGTGCTCCCCCCATCCCCTCTGGTTCCCCCCCATCCCCTTTGGGTGCTCCCCCCATCCCCTCTGGGTGCTCCCCCCATCCCCTCTGGATGCACCCACATCCCCTTTGGGTGCCCCCCCCATCCCCTCTGGCTCCCCCCCATGCCCTTTGGGTGCCCCACACCTCCTCTGGATGCCCTCCATCCCCTCTGATTCCTCCCCCATCACCCCTGGGTCCCCCCCTCTCCCTTCTGTGCACCCCCCATCCCCTCTGCCCCCCCCCCCTCCCTCCCCATCCCTTCTGTGCACCCATAGGTGCTGCAGCACCCTAGCGAGGGGGCCCTGGTGCTGGTGCTGCACCGGGCGGTGAAGGACGCGCCGGTGCCGGTGGCCGAGATCCGGGTGAATTCCTTGTCCAGCCAACCCATCGACCAGGAGGCCAAGGGCAAGCTCTCGGGTGAGGCACCCATGGGTGCTGATGGACACACACACCCCCCCCCCCACACGAGCACTGATGGGTGCTCCCGCCCCAGATCGCTCCCCTGATATTGATAACTACTCAGAGGAAGAGGAGGAGAGCTTCTCCTCGGAGCAGGAGGGCAGCGACGATGCTCTGCATGGGCAGGTGGGTGCTGGGCACCCTCCCCTGCACCCATGGGTGCTCTCCCGACCCCTTCACCCCCACCCTATTCTCCCTCTCCCCCTTCCCCCCAGGATCTCTTCTATGAGGAAGAGGAGCTGCCCAAGGTGAAGAAGACACGGAGGAAGCTGATGGCATCCACCCGGGTGAGGCAGGAGGCACCCATGGGTGCTGACTTGGGGGGGGGGGGGTGTCACCCATGGGTGCTGCTGATGCCTTTGTGCTCCCCTCCACACACCCCCCTGCAGCAGCCCAACATCAAGCAGAAGTTCGTGGCACTGCTGAAGCGTTTCAAGGTGTCGGAGGAGGTAGGAGCACCCATGGGTGCTGGGGATGGGGTATGGGGGGACAGTGGGTGCTATGGGGATGTGGGGTACGTGGTGGCAGGGAGTGGTATGGGGGGGGCAGTATCACCCTGTGGCTGATGCCACTGGTGTTATGGTGATTGATGTCACCCTATGGCCGATGTCACCCTATGGGCTGGTGTCACCCCAAGGGCTGATGTCACCTGATGGCCATTGTCACCCTATGGCTGGTGTCACCTCTGTCAGTTTATGGCCATTGTCACCCTATGGCTGGTGTCACCGCTGTCACTCTATTGCCATTGTCACCCTGTTGCCAGTGTCACAGCTGTCTCCCTATGGCCACTGTCACCCTATGGCCATTGTCACCCTGTTGCTGGTGTCGCCGCTGTCACCCTATGGCCATTGTCACCCTGTTTCCGGTGTCACCCCTGTCTCCCTATGGCCGCTGTCACCCTATAGCCATTGTCACCCTGTTGCCAATGTCACCCTATGGCCATTGTCACCCGGTTGCTGTTGTCACCCCTGTCACCCTATGGCCGCTGTCACCCTATGGCCATTGTCACCCTGTCACCACTGTCACCCTATGGCCATTGTCACCCTGTCAGCGCTGTCACCCTATGGCCATTGTCACCCTGTCACCACTGTCTCCCTATGGCCATTGTCACCCTGTCAGCGCTGTCACCCTATGGCCATTGTCACCCTGTTGCTGGTGTCTGCGCTGTCACCCTATGGCCATTGTCACCCTGTTGCTGGTGTCACCGCTGTCTCCCTATGGCTATTGTTACCCTGTCACCCTATGGCCATTGTCACCCTGTCAGCGCTGTCACCCTATGGCCATTGTCACCCTGTCACCACTGTCTCCCTATGGCCATTGTCACCCTATGGCCATTGTCACCCTGTCACCACTGTCACCCTATGGCCATTGTCACCCTGTCAGCGCTGTCACCCTATGGCCATTGTCACCCTGTTGCTGGTGTCTCCGCTGTCACCCTATGGCCATTGTCACCCTGTTGCTGGTGTCACCGCTGTCTCCCTATGGCCATTGTTACCCTGTCACCACTGTCACCCTATGGCCATTGTCACCCTGTCAGCGCTGTCACCCTATGGCCATTGTCACCCTGTCACCACTGTCTCCCTATGGCCATTGTCACCCTGTTGCTGGTGTCTCCGCTGTCACCCTATGGCCATTGTCACCCTGTTGCTGGTGTCACCGCTGTCTCCCTATGGCCGCTGTCACCCTATGGCCGGTGTCACCCTGTCCCCGCTGTCACCCTGTGCTGGCCCAGGTGGGCTTCGGGCTGGAGGCGGTGGCCGGGGCGCGGATGCGCTCGGTGGCCGAGGACCTGGACGAGCTCTACGACACCCTGGAGATCTTCACCCCAGCGACAGCGGCGCCGACATGGACGATACGGACAGCGTGCTGAGCACCCCCCAAACCGCGCCTGCGGTGAGTGAGCACCCA